TACAGATACGTATTTCTGTGTTAGGTGCCAGAAGAATCTCGCTGGATTCTCTGTTTATTCTTGGTGTTTATTCCATGGGCCTTTGTTGTATTTCCTTCCTAACGTTAAATAGCTACCGGAGCTTACCTGAAACATAACCTAAAGTGGATTTGGAACTTGACTTGCTTCTGCAGCTCTCTGAAGCCTTGTTGCTATTGGATTGTCTATGGGGGTTTTGGAATTTCATGAAGAAAGTGTGACCTAAGCTCACTTAGCATGGTGACGTCTAAGTTTACCGAACCTTAAATTATAGCTCTGGGATGTTAACTAGGTTGAACGGGAATTCAAATGCTAGTGATAATGTCAAAATTGTTAACGTTATAGACAAATTAGGAAGATAAGGAACTTTCCTCTCATGAAGATCTGTGTAACAATAATGTGTAATGCATTGAGAAATAACTATTCATCTTGTGTAGTTTACAATATTGACAGCAACGAGGTAAACTGGAGCATGGTCAGTTTTGTTTTTCAGCAATAGGATGTGTGTGTGTGTGTATATATGCACACACATATATGCTTTCAGTTGTTTTTTAAGAAATTATGTTAGTAGGGTCTGCATGGAAGGGAAAACTTGATGTTCTCAGAAGAGTCTGAATCAGAAGCAATGTGATAGATATTACATGAACAGAAAAAGCAGAATAGGGAATTGGTTTATTACCATAGACTAGACTTGGATCTCTATCCAAGCAAATGTGCTGCTTGTGTTTTGTGTGTCCTCCCTGTGGGGCAAAGGATGTGCTTGCGGTCACCTGTAAGGTGCAGTATTGTGGCTTACAGAGCCTGGATGTGCAAACTTGCTGTGAAGAGCAGTGTGCTATTAAATACATCAGCTTACACTGTGCAATAAAGAAATGCAAAAACAAGCTCTGAAGAGCTTTTCTAACTGTGCTAGAGTAAACTTGTGTGCCCTTGCATATTCAGTCATTGTGCCAAAAATCTGTTAGCTGAATTCATGCTCAAAACTTGTGGTAGAAGAGGGATTTAAAGCTTTTCCTAGGAAGCATCAAGCAGGCATCCTGACTGTCCATCATTATAATGAAGGGTAGAAGTTTCTCTCCCATAAAGTGAAGGTGCTGTATACATTTACATTCATTCTTGTGGAAGGCTGCATTTGATTGTACAGAACAGTGATTATGCCATATTTCAGAGATGATAGTGCACTACACAGTTGATACCAGTCATATGTCTGGTATAAATAATGCTTCATTAATTAGTCCTTCAGTGCTTTGACATGTAGAACACTTCTGAAATGAGGAAACTTGCTTAGCTGACCTGTGGTAAAGCACCACTCAGCTGCATTATAGTCATAGGTTTATTTGTCAAAGTAATATCCCCTTCTCTTCTTGCTCTTGTTATGTGTAGGAACTCTCAGGGAAGGAAATATGTGAATTCTTGACCATGTGTTGCTGATTTACCAGCTGTGATTTGGCTAGATCGATAACAATGTGCATGATAGTAGTTATAGTGGTGTAGCAGCTGAACATTTGGTTCACAGTTATCTGGGGGGGGGAGCACAGCTATTTTGTGCCGTAATGATAATCATGCTTGTTAGTTGGTACTCTCAGGTTAAATGCTCAACAAGCATTTATGCACGTGCTTAATTTTAATGGTGTGATGGGTTGGCATGGTTCTGTCACCATTGCTGACATGATGGAGCTGCGTCTTGCTATGAATAGTCAAAATCTTAGTCTTTGCAGAAATGATAAAACAAATAGTCGATGGTAGCCAGCTGTTTGAAGATATCTGTTCAATTTCCTCTGCTGTTCCTGAAATGTAGTGTGTATGCTGTCCTTCTGCAGTAAGCTGTGAAGGAGGCTGCCAAAATGGTGGGGAATGCATCTCTGTCAATGGGGTTGTGAAGTGCCTTTGTGCTTCTGGCTGGACAGGATCAAGATGCCAAGAGGGTGAGTATTTACACTAACACGCCTCATCTGTACCACTTAAATGCTGATAGTCCTTAAGCCCTGTAAACAAGCCCTGATGGACTCCGATGAGCAGTAAAAACAAAGATAATTTGCTAGATACACCATTGAAGTAGTCTCAGTTTTTCTATCACTGCATTCTCAAGAGCAGAAGCCTTACTCATTTAATTTATGTATGTGTGTGTATATATATATATAAAAATACAACCTAAACCAAACTAAACCCTGTGTTTCACCTGGGAGAAAAGTTGAAGAAACTCTTATCTCACCTAAGATGCTTGCGTTACTGTGCTATAAAATAAGGATGAAGAGACGATGTTATCATGGCATGGGACATGCCAATGTAGTACATTGCGTGTTTACATACAGGAAATATTGATGAAAATGTAACTGCAGTGACAAAAGCATTTTAAAAAGAGTAAGAGACTAATAACTATGGAAATGTCATTGCACTGAAACAGAAATGAGAGACCTGCATTATTGGTATGTATTCCAAAAAAAATAGCACAAATTATTCCGCACTAAGATGTACATTTTTTAAAATTTAAACAAAAAATATTGCACAGTCTGTGTGTATATGCCTTTAGAGTAATACCAGTTGAGCATCTGACCTGGAAGAAAATGTTTTTTGCCATTTTGATTCGCATCATCCTGAATATTTCATTCTGTCAGGATTCTTTTATATCAGTTTTATAAATCCTGCTGGCTTACCCATTCTTTCCTTCTAGCAATTTGTCCTCAAGGTTGTCGGAATAATGGAGCTTGTGTGGCTCCTGGGATTTGTAGCTGTCCAGCTGGATGGGTTGGTGGAGCATGTCACTTAGGTAAATAACTTCTGACATTTTTCTTGTATCCATTTCTCTACTTATGTGATTTATACAATACAGTGTTTAAATCTTCAGTGCCTAACAAAGCTGCTAGAAAAGTATTTTAGAGTAGTAAATGAGAGGTTCTTCTGCATACTGGAGATCTTATGTGTATGCATAAGGAATAGATGGCTTTTCACATTGGTCAGAAAGACAGAGCTTTTCTACTTCAAGTAACTTCAAATTCAGTTTTGGTTGTCACCAAATTTGTTACTTAGTATATATTATATTTCAGAAATATTTTGTGTAAACTGAGACCATGGTTTAGAGAACTAAAAATGGCCATTACAGAAACGCTAACACTATTGACATGGATTAGAAGCTTCATTGAATTTTATAGATGTGGAGAAGTGAAACTTGCTTCTCACTTCAAGGATAAATTGGGAGAATCAACTCCAGGTGCTTTTTACAGCCAGCTTTCTCTTACCCTTTTATGAGGATTAGTTCTGACTGACATTCCTGCTGAACAACCACTTGCATTTTACCAAATTTTTCTTCACAGAAGCAGATGAATATTATAAAACCTTTAATCTACCTAAAGCTGTGTGTGCCTGTGTGCCAGTAGCAGCACTGCCCTGATGCTAAAGGCAATAATCCCGAGCCTGAAAAAAAAGGAAAGCTTTTTGTTTGCTCTCTGGGAGACTGAGAGACAGCTCACTTAAATGTTGCTTTTGAACTAGATAGGATGGGTGCAAAGTCTGTGGATTAAGTCCTCCTGTGTATGAAATATTTGTGTGGCTCTGGGAGTCCAAATTGGCTATCATTAGTTCTGCAATATGTGTATTGTCAAACAAACATTAACATATAAATATTTCAGTGTTCCCATTTGATTAGGAAAATGCTTGTTCTTTGTATTCAGTGGTGTGTTGTGATAGAGCATGATATTAAAAGATAAGTATAGGACATGCAGAGAAACTTATGAAATCCTTGGTACCACTCCCTGTACCAGCAATAATGGTGGAAATATGCAGGTTCTTAGTGTCAGAATAATAACCATGCCTGAACTACATAGATCTCTATCCGGTTTGACCTCTCTTGGCAAGGGCACTCACAAGCAGATTGAAACCCTCTCATTTGTTTCCTTAACTGGTGTGTAGCTGGGGGACAACCGAAGCAGTGCCTGCTCAGTTCCCTATTGCCCTTCTTTTTTCAGAGGAGTAGGGAAACAGAAGGGCAAGGAGCAGCTAGGACGTGGTAACTGTTTCCTCGTGGATGTGTCCATCCAAGAACTGCCTTGAAAACAAGTTCCAGAAGAAATTTTTATTGGTCCCTCGCTCCCATGGAGGCATCCATTTAAAAATAGTCTGTGCCTTAAAGAACAAAGGAAATGATAGTATTTTAAAAGGGGAATGGAGCATGAGTAAGACTAGCTGTACTGTGGCAGTATTCCAGTGAAGGCCACGAGGCCATAAATTGAGAGGCATTGCTTTTTGGTTCTTCCATTATGCTTTTATTTATACAGTCCCTGTGCAGTCTCCAGGGAACAATTCTGCTAGTACAGTGAGACAAAGAAGAAAAATGATCCTGTGCTGTGCAGAAGACATACTGTGTGTCTGGTGTCTCATTTCAGCTGTATGTAAACTACCTTGTCAGCATGGAGGAAAATGCATAGCTCCAAATGTGTGCAGATGTCGACTGCCCTACTCTGGTCTACAGTGTACAAAGAAAAGGAAGGAATGAAGCAACTTCAGCAAAGATAAGCTGCATTTTCTTCACCATACGGAGATGAAGTCTAGGGGAGGGAGAAATTAAACATGGTAACTAGTTGATTTCAGGTAGCTTTTTGTCTTCAGTATATTAAGTGAATGCTTTTCTCTATGAAAGAGAAGTATTGCTGATTGTAACAAAGCTGTTATAAGTATCCAAGTGTGCTTAGTGTGTGGTGCACACTCCTGTGTGTGTAGTGTATGATTTTCTGCTGTTCTCATTTTTCTTCATAAGCAGCAGTATTATGTCTTGGTTGATAGAACTGACCTTGAAATAAAATTTACTCTTCAAATAAAGTACTTCAAAATGGATCTATTCTTTTTTTTTTTTTTTCCTTCTGACTAGAATTTATGTTTTATATTAGTGATGTGTTTTTAAAAAAGCACATGAAACAAAGCATCCTAATTCAGATCGTCAGAAGTGGATGTTAGTTCAAGTCTGATTTACCTTTGATAAGATGACACAGTTGCAAGATGAAGCTTGCAGAGTTTGCATCTCTGTGGAATAACAGCAAAGAGCAAAGCATTTTATTAAAACCCTGATCCTTGCTTTTTGTGTGCTTCCTGCCCCTCACCCCCAATCAGATTTGGATTTTGATCAGTTAAGCCTTATTTAAAACAAAAGAAAAAAAATACTTCTTCAGACAGTTCCTTCTGAAAGCTTATTCCTTACAGATACTCTGACAAAATCCTTATCTTGACTACTTTTACTATTGTAGTATCTGATTATCTCTGTGCTTCCAATTTATTTCTTTTCCTTATTCTAGCAATATAGGGAAATGTCTTTATCTCCATTCTGGAGATGTAGATGTTGATGATACATTTCTGCTGAAGGCTGTGTCTTTGCAGAAGCAACAAAATAGGGGGCTACAGGCTGGCAGCAAGGAAAAGCCTTGTTTGCCATGAATCACCTGTGTGGAGGATGCCAAGGTTTGCCTTCTGGCCATGCTCCAGTCTGGCTTCATTTAGGTTTTGCAGCATTCTGGGTGGGCTGTAGATCTGACAGACTTCAACAGGCATTGCTCCATGGTTCAGCTGTGCTGTTTCTCAAAGGCTACAGTTGAGGAAGATTTTGCCAAAACATGCAAGTTGAACCATGCAATTTTCTAAATAATGTCCAAATCTTTTTTTTTAGATTGATTTTCATTGTGTTCTAGGTGACATGAAATTTTCAGTGGGAGAGTTTCAGCTTTGCATTTTTTGATCTATTCAACTATGCATTATTTTAATCCATATGATAAAAGAAGATTGTATCTGTGAATTAATTCTCCTATCAAAACATGTACCCTTCATAGGCAGAGTGAAGTACATGGACTTGTTTCCCCAGGGATCACAAGCTACCCAACACTGAGCAGAAGCAAAAGAAATGGTCCATCCTCCTTTACCAAATGTGTCTAAAAGAGATAAAGCATACTGCGGGCAGAGCAAAGACTGTGTTATAGGTCATGGGGCTGCTTTTTTCCACTATGAAGCATTTGCTCTGTTGTGTAGCTGAGAAGCCTTTCTCCTCCTGTGCTTTGGAGGCTGTTGTGTTTTGGTTCAGATGAAACCTGCTACAGGTCCTGTGGAGGTTTTGTTGCCAGAGGTATGGGACAGAGTAAGGGGACTGTATGGTTTTGTGCTGCTTTTGCTATGATACACTGGATATTTCAGACCTGCTGATGAAAAATGTGATTTTCATGCATGGAACAACAGTTCAGGAGTAGGATATATGATGATGAGATGCTGTGTCTATCACAGCACACTGCAGTAATCAGGCCCTAATTGAGAAATTCAGGAGTGAAGCTGAATACCTCAGATGAAATACTGGTTGCAGGGAAGTGAATAAATAATAATAAAAAAAAAAAAAAGCATCAGACCCAAGGTTTCACAGTAAATAAGCAGTATGTAAATGCAAGAAGGTGTATCTCAGCTCTGGTCCCGAAAAGCCTGGCTTCTAATAATAAAGCCAAAAGTGACAATAATGGTGGTTAGAACTGAAAAGAGATACTAATATCATTAGGAATATAAGGCGAGGAACAGTCAGTGAAGCAGACCTTTAATTCATGTTCTGAGCTTGCCAGAACAACTGCTGATTTAAATAGTTCCCTGTTGAGGAATGACTAAAGTGAAGTAAGCAGTAATTTGATGGAACACCCGAAGTGTGATGGCATATTTTAGAAATAGCTTGAATGTAGCACCATCTGCTGGCTGAAGGATTTGCTTTTTCTTTTCATTCTGTTGTTTATAAGAAAAATCACTTAGATCTCCACAGTATTTTAAATCAATTTAAAAGTGAATTTCCTCGTAGTTATCTTGAAATAGAACAGAACCATAATGTATTACAAATGACATCCATGTCCCCAAATGATTGTTTCTATGGTCCCACATATATCTGCTTGAAGAGCTGTCAGTGCTCATTTTCTTTTGTTTGTTTCTCCATCCTCTCCCACCCACTGGAAGGTTGAACATGCTTACCAGTTACAGCATGTGATTTTTGGAGCTACGCGTATCTTCCTGTGAACAGAGTTATGCATACAGCTCAAAGGTCAAGAAAAACGAGACAGAACAGGTTATTTATTGGAGCTAACTACAACACCTTATAAGATGCTCTGATGTTCATTAAAATGACTGGGAAAATTGTAGGGGAGGTCTGCTGGTTGCATTTTTGATATTCTGTCATTTTAGAGTGTGCATGAAAGGATGAGAAGTGTTTCTTTTTAATGTACCTATATTTGCAGTTTACTGTTTATATTTTCTCTTCTATTGTCAGTGTTTGTACCAAGAATGGAGCTGCTTGGTTTATCTGTGAAATATCCTTTATTGACAAAGAGTTTCAGCAAATAATTTTTCTAAACTGAGCTGTTTGTGAAAGTTGAACAGAATAACCCAACAATGCCATGTGATATTACAAGAGAAAGAGCAGAAACATCTTAAGTCTTGAAAATACTTTCTAACATAAACATTTCTGTGTGATTCTGTTTATATACCCCAGTGTTATTGTTTTAGTGAGAATTTAAACTTTGAATTTTTCCATTTGGGCAAGTAATGGAGTTGGATATATCCAATTTCTTAGGTAGCTAAAGCTTTTATACTTATTTATGTTAGTGTTTGTACTGATTCTTCTTTGAGGGTTTGCTTTTGCTAGGTGGAAATGTTAAATCACTTTCTATTCTCAGAAAAGACAATATATAATTAACTTCTATAAAAAGAGTAATTGTGGACCATTTTCCTTTTTTTTTTTTTTTTTTTTAGTCTTAACCAGTATAGACATAAATGTACGAAGGTGAGTCCTTGCTAAGATTTGTGGTATATTCTGTGATATGAGTGTCTCCTTCCTTCCGAAAATACTCATCATACAGCATTTTAAACATCTTGGGTAAAATTCAATCTGTGCTTAGGAGAGTTTCTACTGGTTTGCACAACGGTTTTAGTCCAGCCAGATGCTGTACATTGGATGACGGATGCTGTACATTGGATAGGTATCTTCAGTATTTAAAGACAGAGTTCAGTGAAATGACCAGTATTCCGGTATACCATATTGATTTATTTTTCCTCTTGTTTGTTCCACTTTTTCTCTACCTACTGACTTCTGACTCCAAATCTGATGGAAGAACTCCGACATATGCAGACTATAACAATGACTTACTTCTTCAAAAACCCTTTCCTGTTACTGCAACCTGGCTAACGTGCTAAGAATCAGCACCATTAACAAAGGGTAACTGTTTGGCACAGGTTACCCTTTATTCCATCTGACTGGTACTGTGGCAACTCCTGCAGTAAACCCCTGCAACCCCCATTCCGTGTCCTTAAATTCTTTTTGGCCTAATTTTTGATCAGTTTTAGAACAATTTCATTAACAGAAGCCATTTACGTGCTTCTGCTGATGAAGCTTACGTTAAACGGAGCAACGTTATTGCATTCTGCTTTTCAAATTACAATAAACAAATTCTATTCCATGTGTATGATGAACAATCCAGAAACAAAAGTTTCATGTACTACAAAACTGCCTAGTAATTATCTGTCTCTATGCACATACTAGTAATTTTTCTGTTTCACGTGCTTATTGGAACACAGCTTAACTTTGCATGGAGCATGTAATTTTTAACCAGTGTAGCAAAAATACTTTTTTTTGCTCAGCATGCATTTTGAAGACACAGAAGAAATAATATCCACTGCTAGAAACATTGAAAATTAATGGGAAATACTAAATATTGTGATTTTTAAAAAACTTTATTCAGCCTGAAATCCTAGAAAGCCATCTGTATTGGGTCAGCTTTGTGAATGGAGGTTTGTACAAAATCATTAACCAAATACTGTTCCTGACAGGTGTTACCTTAACTCTGTAGCTAAATGACACATGGAGTAGGGGTTGTTCCAAGACAAGCCTACGCATTATCTTTGTGCCTATGTTTTACAGATACTGTGTATTCAGGGCTTCATCCTGAAGCATCAGTTCCAAAAGCTAGTCAGGTTTTGTTCATAGAGATCATTGTGAGCTGTGAAAAAGGAAACAGTTCAAGTGAAGTAGGTTTTAAATAATAGAACAGTTCCCAGCATGTCTGGCTACCAGCCACGTGGATACTGGATTACAAAAAACAAAACAAGCAAACAAAAAAACTGTTGAACCACTGGAACTTAGAATGCAGGTGGGAGATCAAAAGTATTTTTGAAATAAACATCAAGCACTTAGAAATCCATCAGGCATCATTCTGAATGATGCTGAGATTCAAGTATAGGAACTTACTTTGCAAAATGGATTATGAATTAAGAGGACTACCTAAAGGTGAGGAAAAATCTAGGCTCGGAACTCCTCTAACAACTATGAGTTGGCAGTTGGCATTCGACAGTGGCACTAAATGGCAAGATGAGCTTGATTTTCTTCTCATTCAGAATTAGTGCATGTAAACGGGATATTGGTCATGAGATCAGAAAATAATTAAGCTTATTTTTTGGTAAGAAAAATAACCCACAGCCCAAAACAAGTCAAAGTGGTAAAGTTAGATGGTAAAGGGAAGTTTGTGTCCATTACCTGAACTCAGTTGCTGCAGGAATTGAGCAGAATTGTGCAGAGGTGCAGAAATTCGCACCTCTAGGGGAAGGTAGAAGAAAGAAAGAAACTTCAGAAAAACTAAAATTTTATTTGTTCAAAAGTTCTCTGGCTTGTGGTTGGTGATAACAATTGGTTGGAACAATTGGTAATGTGAAAAAAAAAATCCATATGGATTGCTTACAAATGGTTTCTGATTTGATAGATACAGATGACATGATGTGCAGCAAATGACTACTCTTGTCAGTTCCTATTTTAAGGTTCAGCATGGGACATCTCTGAGTAAAACATTGTCATTTTTCTCTGAAAGACTCCATTTCCTCATCTTTTTGAATGCCATTTCAAAACAGAAGCATAAAAGTCTTATGGATACAGCGTTCATCCTATACTCACGTGTGTGTGTGTTTAAGTAATGAAGAAGGCTTGTTACCTTGAAACCAGAATTATTCTGCTGCTGGTTGACTGTCCATGAGACATAGGGCCCTGCCTGCACTGCTACTACTTAAGTCTTGTTTTGGGTTCCCCCTCCTTCCTCACTACCAGGAAGTCAGAGCAATGCAAATACAAGACGAAGAAAAAAATGCCTCTGCTTTTCCTTCGGTATGCAGCCAAATAATATCAATGTAAACAACATTTGAAAACAGAATGTACCATTCACAAGTGATTATGTGTTGCCTACTTTCCTGGAGATGTTCAGCAGATATTACAGTCTCACTCCCATAAAGGAAAGATCATAGTCCAGCTGGCTATATCAACAGACAGAAGAATTTTGGGTGTGTATGGTTCATGAAACCTGTGAGTCCAGTGAAGAATCAGAGGCTGTGAGGTAGCAAAAAAAAAAAAGTATAGAAACACGTGTTACAATTAATACAAGATTGTTGTACTAAAGCTCTTTAAAAATTCATGACTGTAACATGAATTTTTTAAAATAATGTTCTGGATATTCCTTTCATTTAAATAAACTCTGTGAATGCCTTCAAAACTTCTTGCTATTTTCAAGTCTCATACATCCGTGCAGCATTTAATTGGTATACTTCTTTTCTTCAACCATGATGTCTTTGTACCTTGGAGGGAAAAATAAATAAATGTAAAAGAGACTTTAACTGGACCTGCTTGTTGAAGAAATAATTTTAATGAATCTCTGCTTTCCTGATACGGAAAGAAACAATGTCAAGGTCAGTTTGTGCATATAGATTTTTCATTTGTTTGAGAAAGCAAAATTTGAGAAAGAAAATGTGCCATTTTCATCAATGTATAGCACTGTCCAAATGACCAGCAATGTATTTTCTAGATTAAAGATAGACTAATGCATTGAAGATATATTTATGTAGACATTTAATCTAATTTTTTTAAGTTGCATTTTGGAAATCCAGACCACAAACATTACAGTCCTATTATCTTTATGGTGATCAATATGTGTAGTTTTGTATTTTTGAAGTGTATATGAGCAGTTATTTATGGTTTCAATTTCTTAAATATATTTACCCCATCTCTGGCCAATTATCTAATTATCTGATACCTGAACACAAATGTTAATGGCATTATATATGGTACTTGATAAAGCAGAAAGAGGATCTGAACTCCCAGTAGTTTCAACTGGGAGAAATTAAGGCTTAGATGAAAGGAAAACTAGTGCTGTTCCCCCCCCCCCCTTTTTTTTTAAAAAAAAAACCTTATTCCTCACTTAAAAAAAAATAAATAAATCTGCATATCTAGTAGTCACAGTGTAGACTTCACCTTAAAAGACAGTATGTGGCAAAGGAAGGAAAGAGGGAAAGAATCAGCTATACTCTGATGCAGCAGGAGACCAAAGAACTGAATATTTCTTTAAAAAAAAAAAAAACAAACACAGTGTATGTGTGAACAACGTCATGTAATTAAAGATGGGTTTAAAGGAATAGCACCAGCATGCAGTATGAAAATCAGGTATGTTCCAGCTCCTCCAAGTGAATTCTACTGTCATCAGAAAAATGTCTAAATATGCTGAAATTAAAAGAAGAAGAAAGTGAGATGATGCAGAGAAATGTAGAATGCTTTCTACTTCAAACGTCACAAAGAAGTTGTAATCAAATGTTTAATTAAGTAACTTCAGTGAAAGATAGTGCCCAAGCAAAGGAATATAACAGAAAATGACTAGACAAAGCAGAGAAATGGTCATCATTCACTATCATGCAAAAAAAAAAAAAAAGCAAAACTATGCCCAACCTCATACCTGGGGATAATAAATGTTTGCATGAAACAGGGATGAAATGAATGACAGTGTAGTTAATTAGTTAAAAAAAAAAAAAAAAAAAAAAAATCAGAGCTTGATGTCACACAAGCCCACAAGGCAAGCAATTCAGCAATGGGATACTTTTCCCCAAAATGGGGCCAGATTCCAGAAAAGAATGAAAGTCATTATGAAAAGAGTAAATATCAAGTCATCACCTGCAGCAGGAAAAGAGATAATCACCTTAATTAAAAACAAAAGAAATTTACTTTAAGCTTTGGGGAGAATTCTGTAAGTATGAGAGTTCATAAAATACTGGAATAACTCAATAATTTTAGGAACTTTCCCTCACTGGAGATTGAAATGAAAAAATTAGACAAACATGCTTGGTATATTTGGTGCTGCTTCATTGGGTGAGGGCTAAATAATGACTTCCAAGTTTCCACATCTGTGATTACATTACCTGATTACATTACCTTGACATTAACTTACCTGAATTCTCTTCCCACAGAGGAGTCCAGTGTAACCAGGACGACAGGAGCATACGTTAGGTGACACACACTTGCCTCCAAAGAGACATTTCTGACTGCACACAGCTATACCAAGAGAGAGACGGAGCTTTAGTAATGAAAACTTAGTGAAGAAAGTGGCTACGATCTCTTCATATTTTGCTAGCATAAAGGAGGTGAGGGCTTGGTAGGTATTTTCACAGCAGAAAGACCCTCAGTGCAAGGAAACCGACAATGCTTTCATGCCTGTCCATTTATATAAAGATACAGATTTAATGTGGGAACATACTAAAAGCATAAGTGTGTGGAGACATAAGTAAGGTGTATTTTAAAGCATCCTACTGTTTCAGGCTATTGCAATGCTCTCTTAGGGTTTTTCAGCAGCCTGTGGTGTTAGTAATCCACTGCATACAGCCATACAGCCATGATCACAGGGAATGTTTGTATTCTTGAGGGCTTCAAAATGGGCACTGGAATATCTACTCTCTGTCCTGCTTTTGGCACAGATTTGGGTTAAAATACAACCAGGGAATAGGACTTCTGGGATTTCTGAAGCATTCTAAAATGTGCTGAAGCAGAAAGAACGATGTGGCCCTATACTGTAAACTTACGTGTTTGACACTGGATTCCTTCCCACTGTGGAGGACAATGGCACATGCTTGGTCCAATACATTCCCCTCCATTCTTACATTCCTGAAGACAGATGGCTGCACAAACATCATCACAAAGTTTGGTTATATCCCAAGTTGTTACTTTTACTTATTATATACATTTCAGGTTGCCCAGAAGATGTTGAATGCTTTTCATGCACAAAAGTCACCTCCCCTTCACTGAAAATGTAAGATCAACATGTTATTAAAGTGGGAACCAGAATAAAAAGGCCCACAAAGGCACTGAGATGTTCTGATGCATCACAGACAGCTATAAAAGCTGGATATACTGAATTCAGTTAATGCCACTAAATAGTTTTGCTTTTTTTCCAAATACACATTTCTAAAATCCAAACCTTAGTGGAAGATCTTTTGTCTTCAATTTAATGCAATTTAATTCACAGTGAGTTAATCCATTAATATTTGATCCAAAATTATTTTCCATGACCCATGTTTTCTGCACGTTCTTTCCTGCTTATTAAAGCACAATCTAAAGAACTATTATTTCTCACTTGTTAACTGACTATTTGATGATGAAATCTCTTTTCTACTATGTCCAAGAATATCTAAGCCCTGCCAATATGGGTAATTTTTTTTTTTTCAATAAAACTTTCCAAGAATTAAGGAAAATCATGGGAAATGTCTTTTCTTCCACGTCATTAGAGAACTTGCTGGCCACATCAATATCTGAGCCTCAGGTGGGGTACTATGACAGACATTAACATTTTATCTATTGGATTTCTATCATCCATCCTCATGCTGATTTTCATGCAGACTATGCTTTTATTCAAGCTGCCACATTTTATTTATGTGCCATCAATAACTTCATTAAGATACAATGTGAACCACAGCTGTGCTAGCATCAGTCTTATTTCTACCTTTCTTATAGAGTTTATGGCCATTGCCTCTTCTATTCCACTTATTTCCCACTACGTTCCCAGTTTTCCAGTGTTTCACTGTACTTCTCTTTCTATATTTGATTCTATTACCTACAGTACAAATTGAAATTCTTTCATTTCATTGACCTAGCTCTCTGCTGTTGTATGTATTCAGAAATACAGATGCTTCTTATTTAGACAAGAATCGAGAAAGAAACAAATATTATACGCTATGCAAGAGTTAAAAAGATATTTTGGTCTCATGATTTGGACTAAGGGCTGCATGGTATTATTAGTTCCCTATCCAAAATTTTATTGCAAAGTTATAGACCATTATTTTCCAATGTATGTATATTTAAGAGTTCTTTGGCACTAACTTCTTATTATCTGCGTGGACAAAGTGGTCCTTTAATCATGTATTACATTTAAGGTGGGGTTCTCCTTGTAACTACAATACTTACGTGTGTTACATCTTTTTCCTCCCCACCCTGAAGGACAAGAACAAACGTTTGGCCCTACACATCTTCCTCCGTTCATGCACCTTGGCTCACAGATACCTTGAAGTCAAAAACAGTTGCTGTTTAATACATTTAATGGTTTACAGAATAATTTATCAGTTATTTTCAGACCCTGGAAGGATTTCAACACTGGCTTACTTTTTTCACATCTTCTGCCTGTGTAGCCATCTGGACAAGCACAGACATTGTTTCTCATGCAATGACCACTGTTCTTACAGGGTGGGCTGCAGACAGCTAAAAGATACAGAAGAGAAAGCCTGTGGTTTGCATTTTGTTTGCCTTTGTAATATACTTGTAGGAAACAACAGTGCAACAATAAAATGCAGATAGTTTATATAGATCTTCAGAACTATCAGGCCTGTCTAATAAAAATCATACTGATGGCCATCAAAAACAAATACGGAATAAAATAAGGAGGTGTCATGGTTGTGTATGCATACACAAGTAAGCAGACTACAGAATGTACAATACAGCAGGTCAACTGGTTAACACTGCTCAAGAGTTGAGCGCAAGACACAGAAGGCAATTTAAAGAAAAAGACATCTGTTTTGCACCACTTTTCAGGTATGTGACTAGATTATGAATTCTGTGTCTTAAGCTAACAATGTTTTCTCATAGATTTAATTGCAGCTAATAGGAAAAAAAGATTACCATTCTGACACTGGGCACCAAAGAATCCACGTGGACAGAGGCAAACATCTGGCTTAGTACAGGAGCCACCGTTAAGACACACAGGGTCACACATTGCTGCACAAACAGGGTGAGGAGGAGTAAAAAGTGTGACAACAAAATGAAGTCTATAAGATACCTGTTTCTGTTACAAGGATTCAGGTTAAATACCTCAGATAAGTGCACATTACTCTGTCAACTTAAAATTTCTACGCAACCTTTGGGATCAGTACTAGATTTCTTAGAGCTGCAGAACTAACATGCAGAGATGAGACATGCAGGAGCTCCCCAGCAGTCAGCAGTCATCCAGTGCTGCTGTCTGAGCCACATGGTTCCAAATTTCAAACTATGAAGAGAGTGTTCTGCATACATCCTCCCAGGACTGTGGAATGTGCAGGAGTCCACAGTGGTACCTGTATCCTGTGTTACCTGTACTGCATGTAGGTCCGTACCATCCAGGTTTACACTGGCAGGTGTCTGGAGCAAGACATTCACCACCATTTTCACAGTGCCTGTTGCAAACCACTGCCATCCATCCAAGTAGAAAAGGAAAACGATTAAAAAAAAAAAAAAAAAAGTAAATATGCTACAGCTTTATGCTTAATTCATTTTTGAGTTCTTTCCCAGATACTATAACTGGAAATTACATACTATTCCACTATTCCACAATTCCAGAGGAATTACTGAACAGATTGACCCAGTCTCTAAGCTCACACTAGAAGTATATGACACATCCTTACACATAATTATCCGCTATCCAGCTGGTTTTATTCAGTGTTAAAACCCTAAACAAATCTAGGAAAACAATATCCAAGACTAAGATATGTTCAGATTACACTATGGATTTGATGAGCACCAAGGAAGGTTACTCAAGTGTCCGTTACTTCAGCAAGTGTAGCTGCATGGATAGAGCAACACAAGACTAACAGGCAAAGACATTAAATTATCAGGGCTGTGGAAAACCATGAATCATTTTTTTTCAGGACAACATCTCTTTAGTCTTACTTAACAGACTATTTTTGTGTCACAATTGAAACCAAAATAAGGAAAAGTGAGAGTGCAGAATCCTGGGATTTGAGGAAAAGACAAACAAAACTCTTTCAAATAAAAGGTCAGTAATGCAGTAGCTCATTCAGGTGAATTATATACAAACAGCATGACTAAATTTGGAGTCTCTGAATTATATAAATTACCAGTATGAAATCTACCCCAAATCTGGGATTGCCAAATTGTAGCATGTAGAATTTAGTATATAAAAGATGACTGGTGTGATACTAATTTCAATTTTTCAGCTACAATCACAACAAGTTCTCCAATCTTCATGCCAGCTCAAAAAAGACCCCACAATGTGCTTCTTAATTCAGTTTTCTGGTATCACAGTTTTTCTGATCTGCCATTCACTGATACTAGCTTCTGGACATATCTCAGCAATTAATCAATTTAAAATTAATCTTCTGTTGTGACGGTAGGCGTCTCATGCTTCACAAGCTCAATGTTTCCATGTTCCTGTTCCCTAAATTAAAAAACATTTGCAATTCTTATAGCGCATTATGTTTTTAAAAAGTTATAGATGAATACTAGCTAATAAATGTTCATAAAGCCCAAGTTTGGTAGCCTTCAAAGGGGCACAGTTTTACATTATTTGCTAGCATTAAACTAAGCACATCAAAAATATTAACCATAATTTGCTTTGTTGTTCCCAAAGAACAGGAGAAGTGTTTTGTATTTTTCACTTATGCTTTTTCACTTACGTGTATCACATCTTGGTCCCACAAAACCATATGGGCAGGTACAGAGGTTTCTGGCCAAGCACGTGCCTCCATTTTTACAGGGCGGTTTACAATGTGCTGCAGATACAGAATTATGCTGTTCAAGAAACTGCCTCTAAGAAGACACATGGATTGGTTATGCTTTAGCAAAAGGGAAATGTTAATAGTTGACAGTGAGAAAAGAACTGGAAATAAAGGAACATACATAATGTTTTATGACAAGAACAAACAATGAGAATGTAATTCCAACAGAGTACACAGAGTCCCAACATCGGTGGTCATCCCAAAGAAAGGAAACATGAGACACATTCCAGACAGGACCTTAGTCTTCCCAGTTTGGGGAGTGTTTAACTTAAAGGCGTCTGCAGTCACTGGTGAACTTTTCTAGTTGCCGTGAAACTAAACCTGGTTACCATCTTTATGTAACTGCACGTTACCACAAATACTGCAGAAAAAAATACTAAGATTAAACCTTTATTATGGTAGAGGTTTAAGGAAATGTATACCACAAATCCACCAAAGAGAAATCTGGGGAAGCTCAGAAGTTAGATGTGCCCAGAATTACAGTTAAAATGAACAAATAGTCATTAAAAAAATAATAAATAAATAAATGTTGGGAGAGAGGAGTTAGAAGCAGCCCTGCAGCCCCCGTGGTCAATGGAAAAGGAGGGCAGGAGGTGCTCCAGGCACAGAGCAGCAGTTCTCCTGCAGCCTGTGGAGAGGCCCCTGGTGGAGCAGGCTGTCCCCCTACAGCCCATGGGTCCCACATGGAGCAGATCTCCATGCTGCAGCCTGTGGAGGAGCCCCCAGTGGAGCAGGTGGATGTGGCCTGGAGAAGGCTGTGGCCCATGGAGAGCCCCCACAGGAGCAGGCCCCAGGCCGGAGCTGCAACCCATAGAGAGGAGCCCATGCAGGAGCAGGGGGTCTGGGGGGACCAATGCTGGAGCAGTTTGCTACTGATGGATGGACCCCATGGTACAGAGCCATTTGGGAGCAGTTCTTCAAGAGCTGCTGCCTGTGTGGGCTGGGGCAGTCCACACAGGATCAGTTCGGGAAGGACGGCATCCCCACGTGGAGCAAGGGCAGAGAGTGACTGTGAAGGAGTGGTGGAGATGAAGCATCAGGGGCTGACCACAGCCCCCATTCCCCATTGCCCTTCACTGCATGGGGAGAGAAAGGGGGAGGAAGGTAGAATAGGGTGGATGGGGGGGAAAGGTGGTTTTAGTTTGCCTTTAGTTCTCACTGTTCTTGATTGTTATTAGCAATAGACAATAAATTACATACATCTCCATATGCTGGATCTGTTTTGTCTGTGACGGTAACTGATGAGTTATCTCCCTGCCCTTATCTCAATCCCTGAGCCCTCTTCCATCTATTTTCTTTCTCTCTTCCTTGGAGGAGTGAGAGAGGGGTTGTCATTGAGTTTAAGCTGCCCGGTGGTGTGAAACCACCACAGGGTGTCACCCTTACGTGCCATTAGGAGCTCTTCCTAAGAGGATTTGGAACACTTGTACTTAGAGAAATATATCACAAGTAAGCAAAGTGGATCACCACCTGAAGACAACTAGTATTGTCTATACAGTCAGTAGAGAGAAGACAGTATTTACATACAGGTATTTCAAAATTATTCTTCACTGAATTATAAAGAATTCAGAGGGTTGTTTGAGACATCATTTTGTATTCTTATCCAAATCCTCAAAGAGATAGAGATTTGTATGTGTCAATGCCTAAGTGAAGATGTCTAGCTTAGAGGGACTGGATTTTTGCTGTAGGTCATTGTCTGCTGGGAAAGCACATACATGCACATGAAAGTGAGGTGTGAAAGCCTTCGTTTTCCTAAAAGGTGCTGAAAGGGTGAAGTGGAGAAAGGCAACTCTGAACAAATGTCCAGTGGATAAAGCATAGTAAATTTGCTTACTCAGAAGTGAGTAATAAATAAAAAACAACCAAACAGTTTTTTCATGATTTTTAGATTAGCATTGTACTGAAGGAGCTAGAGGTTAAATCAAAATATGGTATTTTGCTGTCATAACTTACTATAAATATAGGAATCTCTGTTAAAGGAAAACTAAAATTAACACACATCTTTCCTGTTAGAATGCACAGTTACAGAAGTCATTTACAGTACCCTTTGGATATTTATTCATTCAAGAGTAGAAAATATTTTGTTTACCTTCCTCACAAGTGGAGCCACTGTATCCTGATAGACATTCACAGACATTGGGCTTAATGCACTTCCCATGGTTTTTGCAATCAGGTCTGCATAGAGCTGTGCAAAATCAACAACAATCTTGAAATCATTAATTCATTGATACAAGTTACCACAGGCTAAATCAAAATATCATACTCACCAGTCTGACAGTTATAACCAGCATAACCAGGTTTGCATTTGCAAATATTGGGTGCCACACACTCCATATTTTTGCCACATGTTTGTCTACATATTGCTGAAAGGTAATTAAGAGAACAATGGAAGGAATAAGGAAACAGACGGTGGCATTTCAGCATAACTGTGTCTTGCCTAGCAAGGTAAACATATCACATACAATCAGTTATGTCCCTTCCTGTACGTGAGGAGCCTAAGGTACATTAGAAAAATATTAAGTGCATCCATACAACTAATAGCCTGTAAGCTATGCCAATGTCAATATGCAGAAATTAGGAAATTCAATGCTATTTGCATTTCAGTGCTCACAGAGTAACAATGAACTTTCAGGTTAAAAGAGATCATGAGATCCTTCTTCAGAAAAAAGAAAAAAATAAAAAAAAAACATTTGGTACAGTTATTTGCAATACCTCTGCAAGTGAAGCCATCTCCATAGTAACCATAAGGACAACGACCACATTTGACATTTCCATCCTGACTTGGCTCACAAGGTACTCCAGGAAAACAGGGTAAATCAGCACAGGTGACTGCTTTAGGAACCGTGATTTCATCAGCATCTTCAGGAAGTATTTTTGGTGAGACAGTCACTTTAACAAGAACAACAGGTAAAGGACTTGCTTTATGCTTGGCTAACAGGTACTGAACCCTGTGAGCATTTCTGCCTCTGACCACTTTGTTTGGCAAAGAAAGCTCTTTGCTTGTATCTATTGTGCTGCTAAAAGAAGCCTTCTTGTGAGTCTCAGAATAACTGTAGTGCTCAACTTCTGCCCTTGTTTTCTTCTCAGGTGATAAAGCATGGCTCCTTGATGAAGTGGTCACCACAGTGTTTACTAAGGAACTCCCTTCTGTGTTAGAAAGGTGACTGTTGGTGGTGCTGAGAGCATGAGCAACGTTTCCAGTACCAGCTGGTTGTACAGAAGCACTTCTCTGCGAATTAAATGACTTCCAAGAGGTGACTGTTTTTACTGTGTAGGAAGGTGGAGTGCTTCTACTGGCCATTTCTATAGAAATAAATCTCTCAGGGACATCTGTAGAATTGGGAATATAGCTTGAGATGCTGAAAACCTTGTCAAAGGATGACTGTTGAAAACCTACAGGATATTAGAAATAAAGGAGAAGAAAAATACAGAAATATAACAGGACTTATTTCATTCAAGGGTGGGGAACATCTGAGCAGAAAAACATACAATACATTTATTATGTGCTTCAGGAAGCCTATCTTCCTTTGTGCTCCACCAGAATACATATACTCAGTAGAACATAACTAATTGCTGGCATAATTAGAGTAGATGAAGGTACTCTGGCTACCTCCTTTCCCACACTCACCATGGCCTTTTCATGGATGGAAGATAAGGAGAAAGCACCACATGTATGAGGCACGCAGCTAGGGGCAATAAAGAGCTTTACTGTCAGAGCAAATTGCCGGGACCATATATTGCTACCACCTAGATAACTGCAACAGAGAGCTTAAACAGAAGATACTGCTTGTTTTTCACCTGTGTATCTAAGTGCAGGCAATAAACCTAGAGTCTAGAAGTCACAAAAAATACTTACATACAGTATGTATTTAGTCACAAAAAATACTTACATACACTTATACTTACTGATGCATTATCAACAGGATTTACATGAATAATCCATCTCCTTTTAGCAAAAGTATTAAACATTACTTTATCAGTTTAATTATTTCAGAGAACTCTGAGAATTCTCCAAACTTTTTTCTTCACTTTTGTAAAGGTTTTTATTACTGGGATGTTACATGTGTTTTATAAGTGACAGGGATGGACTTAGCCTTTTCTTTGACAGTAGTGTAAAATGAATGAGTTGGGCCCCTTGTTCTGCCCAGGAAAAGAGGGTGTTTTGGTGGATTGTGGAAAGGAATGTGGCATTGTAATTATTATCATATAATTAATTATATGGGCTTTTAGCATTATGGGTCTGAGCAGGAATTGAGTTGGAGGAGATTGTTCAACCTAACCTAAGATTTGTCCCTAACCCCAGTTTGAACAGTATTAGAAAACTGTCAACAAAAAGTTAAACTTCCTCAAATCTTATTGCGAAGTGCTATTTCTCTGATCTATTTATTTATTTATTTTTATTTGCTGAAAAGTAAAAACCAATTTTGCAGTTGATAAAGAATTATCCAGCACTGGCAACTAGTGAGAGAACATTCCTCGTGCCCTGCTAACATGTCAGTGATAAAGGGAAAAGACACCCAATGAGAATTCCCTGTGAATAAAGCCCCAGCAGGCACAGATCTGGAAATGCCAGCAAGAGCATTTACAGAGTTTGGAATTAAGGACATCCATTTGCCATATCCTTCACCTTTCTTTTGAGTTGAAGTATGAAAATGGCATTCAACATAATGCCATAAACTTTTGCTTATCTCATATAACAGATGTCCCTATCCCCATGTTACCTATTGTATGTCTGTGGTTAGTTCACAAAAACAAAAGGCAACAGAAAGAATGTCATACATCACCCTGTCAATGAAATGACTTGACAGACCTAAGGGATTTGTTGATATTGACATTTCAGTGTCATTTGTAAGATCAGAAATAGGAATGCAACCCAAGTAATGAATTAAATTAAAACTGAGAAATAAAAGTGAGTAAAATAAAAGCTTACTCAAGCCTTTAATTTGCCAGCTATATTCTTATCAGTATGAATCAGAAATTTCACTATTTTCATTAAAAAAAAAATCGCCTTTATTACCTTCAACTTCTCCTGTGGAATCCTTTCTTTCAGCAGAAATGTCTTCAAAGGTTTCTAAAAACAACAGATGAGGAGGAACGGTAATAGTCACTTTTGTTTCAACAGCAAATAAATTGCAAAGCTTTAGTACATAAAATAACTCAAAATTTAGAAAGCAGGTGAAGAGTAAAAATTGTTAAAGGTTTTCAGTTGAGTGTTTTAAAAATACAAGTTATTCAGGACTTGCTTAATAGACAGAAAATAAATGTTTAGGCACCTTATTTCGCAACTGTCTTGCTTTGAATAAACAGTTCTATGTTAAACAGTCTTAGGAAGTGTTTTGTCAACAACTACTCATATTATGAAAATAATGCAGAAAAAAAAATACATCACATGCCATTCTAGTTTTAGATAAACATTTTTGGATATTTTGCAGCTATTTTTTTCTAATCTCCTGAAGAAAAAGGTTTTACTATGTGACCCACTGCCTTCCAATGTCATGAACAACTGAAATTTGATCCCAGCAGTCAACAGTCAGAGAAAGAATCATTTTTTTTTGCCAGTTACTGAGCATTTCTAAGGTACTCAGAATATATAGCACAACCAAAGATATTTATCTGATTACAGTCAGATAATAGCATTCTTCTGAAAAATAGATCATTTTACCGTAACAGGACTTCCCATCTCCATGTAGGTTATTTGGGCATGGACCACAATAATAAGAACCAAAAGTGTTGAAGCAAAATACTCCAGGAAAGCAAGGACTGGAAAGGCATTCATCTACATCATCCTGACAATTTTTACCTGCATTCAAATACATACTTTCATGATATTGTTACCAGACTTTGACAATATGTCTATAAGTGATAAAAACACAGTGTATGCAGATGATGAACACAAAAAAGTGTATCTATTAAGTACATCAAAGTATTTCAGTACATCTACTGTGTACAGATGACTAGGTTTGCTATGCATGTTTTTCCATCATATGCCAAATATCTTGCTTATTAAGGAAAATGAAGAGGATGGGCTCTGTGAACTGTTTTATCTGCAGGCATGGGAGGAACCACACTGTAACCAAACCCACCACTCCTATTTCACCATGTTCACCAGAGGAAAACATGGAAAATTTGCTCTCATAATCACTTGTTCTTTCACTATAATCTACCATTGCATTCATGCAAGAAAAATCTTGAAGTATATCATAAATCACAAGACTTTAAAATTTCTTCATAGAAACAGTAAGCTCTTTTCAATCAAAAAATTAAAAATAATCAGACATGAAATTAAAAACTCCTATTTATCACTAAGTGTGATAAATGTGTGTAAATAAAGTAGTAGTTTACCTTGAAGTTCAGGTGGACATTCACAGTAATAGCTGTTTATTCCATCCACACATCTGCCAATACCACACTGGTTAAGTTTACAGTCATCAGTATTCACTTGACAGAGATCACCTTCAAATCCAGCCACACACACACAGAGGTATCTTCCACTTCCAGGTGGGAAATTAATGTTTGTCACACATGAGCCATTATTTAGGCAATCACACGATTTTACCCTGACCTACAAGACATGCCCAATAAGACAGTTTTCTCTTTTTATGAACTACCAATGACTTTGTAATTAGGTATTGTAAGCATCTTACTAGCATGTGTCTTTTTACTATAAAATTAATTACCTCTATTTCTACCTTAGTTTCCGCATTGCAGTCATCTGTCAAAGAAAATGTTAATTTATGGGGATTCTTTGACACAGCTTTCCACAACAGGAGACCTGATGGGGAAAGACTGGCACCTTCAGGACCAGACTCCAATGTGAAAAGAATAGCAGAGCCCTCTGGATCTGAAGCCAAGAACTGATATACAAAGTCTTCTCCATAAAAAGTCTGCAGCATATCCTGAAAAGTTTCAAGCTCTGGAGGTTGGTTGTCTGTAACAAAAGAGATATTTTCCCCTTTAAGCAACATACTTATAAAAATAAAAAATGAACATAAACTTCTGTTAAGAAAGTCATATGTGATTATTTCTATAAATTCTAATATTATTTGAAAGGCACAGCAAAAAGAGTAGACATTTTCATTATAGATGTGACAACATTAATTAACAAAAAATTACTTTATTCAAGGGCTTGTAAAAATGCATTGCATCTACACACAAAAAGAACTGGGATTTTATTGAAATAAACACTGTTTTAACTATGAAGACTTACAGTTTGAAGATCAAAGTACAGAAAGCCATGAAACTCAGAGTTGATTGGTGTTTTTGTTAATAAAGGAACAGACATTGTTAAGCACTACTTGGGAACGGGCTGAAGTTATCTTTTATTATCTTAACAAAACTGACCATACAGCGATGGAATAAGTAAAGCACTCGCTCTTCATTGGAAGCATTTCAACTACACAGCTTACTCACTTCAGAGCTCTAAAGACACCAGGTGAAAATAAACAGGCAAAACCACCAACACCAGGACAAGGTCAGTGAAAGATCAGGAAAGGTCAGGGAAGTGAGGAGAAGCAGGAGCCGGGGGAGAGTGTAGGTTTTGCAGCTGGGATGTAGGAAGGGGATTAAGATTATTAAATTAAGGTTTCCAGTGAAGTGACCTGTTTTACATTCTTCTCCCATTTCTGACTTTGGTAATACTGAATTATAGTCTAGGGATCTAACATGGAAATCCCTTGATTCCCCAGCTGCTGCAGGAGTTCACATTTCATTCTTTTGGAACAAGGATATAGCTACCTTCTTTCACTATGAGTTTTCACATAAGGTAATATGAAAAGAATAGCTGCTTATATGCTGCTATTAACACCCTAAATTAACTGGCGAGTGAGTTGAACAGAGCTCACAACTCTAAGCAGGAGGATGGAGTTGATAGTATCCTGAGACCCCTTCTAGTCTGAATTTTCCTATGACAAAATTCTTCATATGTAGGCTATCTAATATTTTTATATAGACTATCCATTCAAATAATGAAAAAAATAATGCCGAAGAACATGTATCTGATTGTTGGAAAGTATCTTTTATTCCTAAATGTTGAAGATAAACATTTGTGGACATAGCTGTTCCAAAAATCAAAAGACGGTAGCCGGCTAATTAGGCTTAAAGAGCTGTTAAATTTCAGCAGTTGAATAGTAGTAAAAAGGGCAAAAAACAAAACACAAATTGACAAGACTAGTCTAGAAAAGAAAACATCTTTTTCAGAAATTAGGAGAAATGCAAGATGAAAACCAAGATCAAATCACAAGCAAAAATAGTGCCTTATCTAAAACTCTTAAGTAGTTAAACTCAAAATTTCAGTACTTCCACAGATTTTGAAACTTCTTAGTTTCAAAACTTCTTGGTACTTAAAAAAAAAAAAAAAAAAAAAAAAAAAAACATCTATTTAGAACTTACTTTCAACAACTGACCACGTTAACCTTGAGATGTCAGGTCTGCACAGTAAGCAAGGGCTGGTTGGATTTGTGTCACCTTCACCATAACAGAGTCCATCTATGTTGCATGTTTTCTCCTTTTATAGAAATGACAATGTGATTCATTAATTGTTGTCAAACAGTAAATCACAGAAGCACAGGATTTGTATTTGTAATTTTTTTAAGTGTCAAATAAAATCTAATCTATCTTACATTTCCACTACTGTTAGAACTAAACAACTGACAGAATGATTTTATTTGGTATTATATAGAGTTTGTGTTTTTTTTTTTTTGTTTGTTCTTGTTTGTTTGTTCAAAAATTGCTCTACCTGAGCTTCTCTTTCTGTATTTTTTATTTCTGTGAAAAGAAAAAAAAATCCTGCTGTAAACAGGGTATGATTTTTTTCTATCTGAAGAGATGCATATTTTCATACTAAACACAGAATAATGGCATATATACCTTTAGCGTACATAACACAGATTCCTGTGATTCACATATCTGACAGGCTCCATCATATATAATCATTGTTTTAGAGTTGCTATAAATGAATCCGTCATTAGAAACCTGCAAGATGTAGAGTGAAAATGGATTAACCCATACTAGGTATCAACATCTCACCAGCACAGATTGCTAGCATGGGATTCAACTCAGTGATAGACATTACATTTACCTTTTTAAACTCTCACAGTAGCAGAAATCTAATCAATCCTGTCAGTAAGTCAAGGCAGATACTTAACTGACCACAGATCTGTGTTTACATTATGGTAGACCGAATAATTTCTAGGCTCTGTTGACCTTATTGACTCAAGATGTCTACCTCTAACAGACACTTGTGCATGCAGACTGGGCTCAACTAATTTCTTCCATAAACATGTCTGACATAATTTGATATGCACAGAAGGCTCTTGCCTTCTGCTCTTGAATGATTTGTGCCTCTGTAGATTCTAGGTCATATCTACCCCTTTAGAGTGGACAGTTCCCTTGCAGGACTTCACTCTCAAATGGCACTCAATGCTTAAGCTTAGGTGACAAAAATGAGACCACAAGTTAAAGCAAAATGAGTTCTACCCACAGAACCATTAAAGAAAAGAGAGCATCTATGGAATATATTTTTATCTTTACAGATATTAACAGATATTTATATATATATATATATTAAAAATTATTAAATATAAATATTATAAATATTATCAGATATTTTATATATTAATATATATACTTTTTATCTTATCTGTAAGTGAATATTTGAAATTTCTACAACTACCTTTATTTGCCACCAGGCAATGGGTTTATCATCAATCAGATCCATGGCATCAGACTGCTGGCCATCATTTGGTAACTGGCAGTCAACGGTCCTGGCATTTTGGAAGGCAGCTGACATAGTTAGAGGTTCTCCAGGAATCCATTGGCTATCACTATACTAAATTTTAGGACAGAGAATCTATTTTTCAGTGAAATGCAATATGAAAATATTTTTAATCAGGAAAAAACAAACAAACAAATAAATAAAATAAATAAATAAAAGTATTGCGTAGTGTTTCAATGTGTCTACTATCTCTGGATTAGAATGTTGTGGGAAATATTAAATGCCAATTTTTTTTCTCACAACTAGATTTCTAGCCTGTTCTTGTGGGAGAAGAGGCTGAGAAGTCTTCCCTGGTGCATGGTACTTGGCATGGCCTTATTGAGGAAGAGGAGTGCTTGCATCTGGAGATTAACGGGAGGGTGATCCTCTAGTAGCACTAATCCACTGTATCAGTGCCTTTATCCCTCTCCATCCCTGCTCCCGGGAGAGGACAAGCTTTAGTAAAATCAACCAATGAGGTTTTGGCAGGGCTCCGCTATAATTTTAGGTGCCAGGTGATACTGGCAGTTAGCCACTGAACCCCTGCACAAGCCAATAGATTACACCATTAATCCCTGTAGACTTCTAAATTACAGCAAGGGCAAGTCATCCACATCTTGAGAGACCAAGATAACAAAATAGGGATGGTAATATTTGATTGAAGTATTGATTGCAATAGGAAGCAGGGTAAAGCATATTGAAAATACTTAGGCAGACTAAGAATCAAGAGAACAGCAAGTTCAAAATTCTTTTGAGCTTAACTAGGTTTTACAGTGCTGGCTACTTTTTTCAGTTTGGAAGCAATTGAGACATTTACTTAATCCCTATCCTGAAATGGGAAACATGGCCTTGCATTTTTACTAACACAAAAATAGTCCCATACAAAAAATAAAAAAACTGAAAAGACATGAACTATTTCTGTTCAAACCAATCTTTTTTTCTTTCATCCTATACTGAGTTAAGAAATTCATGGCAAGGGTGACTTAAAAATGTAACAACTCAATATTTCTAAGTAGGTGTTTCTGAAAGCATTTAACCTTCAAAATATGATGCAGTCTTTTTCTACAGAAACCTTTTGTTATTAGCTGGAAGCACATTCAGATATTTTTTTCAGAAACATATTAACCATACAAAAAAAAAAAAAAAAAAAAAAAAAAAAAAGAGAAACAAAAATTTCTATGTAAATAAGAAAAAACTAAACCTGTATTTTTATTTTGGGGGTTTAAACGCACTCTTATCCTGTACAAAATCTAAGAAAATTCTGGATCTGTGTAATTATAGGCTCCTTGGCCATGTTCTACCCAAACCCCTACCAAGAAACATACATTACTTCATCTCTGAGGTATTCCAATACAGACTTCTCTGAATCCCCTCTTTTAGCATCATGAATGCACAAGGCCTACATCCTTTCTAACATGGTAGGCCAGTCCATGGACAATGGATTTGATTTAGTCTTTCAAAAGTGAAAATATTAAAAATGATTATTTCAGTGTGTATTGGCTCTAAATTCTGCCAAAATGCTTCTTCTGTGAAATTTTGATCATTTAAGTTTATCTCAAAATACAAGGAGTTCCATACTGTTGTGACTCCACTGGCATTTGCATAAAACCATCATTACGTGAGCCTGAAAATTAAAAAACAAACCACCTTTCTGTGGTATTTTCAAGAAACAAAACAAAACAAAATACCTCCCAGCCTCTTCCTTAATTTCAGATAATATCAGTGTTGTTCACTTTCTAACCTGGCTCTTGACAGTAAGAAGATCATCAATAAAAGTGATTAACTAGGAGGTTTGGCTAGTTAGGAAGCCAAGTATTCTACCACAAAGAACGTTATACCAGAGTATCTCGCCATGAGTTAAGACTGAGACATTTCAAGCTGTGACAAGTGAACTCCCAATAATTGTCTCACTGTGAGCGTGGTCTAAAAGTCTTTTAACCTAATGGAGTGTAAACGTACTCTCAACTTTCTCATTTCAAGCCAACTTGCAAATGAGTGAATACATATTGTGCTGAGGAAAAAAAAAATAAAAATCTATAGCCCATATTACTTAATCTTTCAAATATAACTTTAAATAACTTCAGTATCCACTACCTAAGGAAAGATGGTTTTTTTCTGTGTCAGGGACAGAAGTTTCCTGTTGAATGTTTCTCCTTTTGCCATCCCCTCCCCCAGTACGTCACATCAGTGAAATCCGGTTTTACTTGGAAGCTTTTTGCTTTTTTATTCTCATGTCTAACATGATGTAAAAACTTGTAATTACAGATTGTTCATTTCAGGCTAACACTTGTAAACAGCTTGTAATTTTCCCTTGGGCAAATTCTGAGTAACAGCATTCTGTCTGTACAGACTCCTCTTACTTTGCAGTGCAGTATTCTTAATCTCATGTTCAAACCTGGGGTATAGAACCAACATATTATTAAATAGCCATGGCATTCTACCCCAGGGAAATGGACAACACATCAAAAATGTCTTTCCCTTTTTGTAACAGATTTATTATGTTTATAACAGGGCTATTTTGAGCATTAGATTTGAGACAGAAATCTAGTAATGTCTTTAACCTTGCTGTCCTTTTTCAAAGAAGTGGTACTTCACTTTCTCTCCGTAAGCACTTAATAAAAGAAAAAAAAAGAAAAAAGAAAAAAAAAAAAAAAGAAAAATGAACAACAATGTACTGGTAATGTACTGGTTGCTACTAATAGGTCTGCCCTTGCCCTTTCCTGATGGATAGCTGCTGTATGCTGTTATCTCCCTCTTAGCTGCTGAACATTCCCATTATGTTTCCTATTTCTCTTATCATTGAGGAAATAGCAATCTTGCAAAGACTTGAGTGTCTGCTGCAAAGTATTCAGTGCTTCTGCTTTTAGTTTCTACTAAAGCATTAGGTTGTACACACAAATGATTAGTAGATGTCAGACAGTTTTTGTTCATTTGCTGAGAAGTTTAAACATAATTGTTACCGTACAATGAGATCTACCTGCAACTTGATAATTTCACACTTCAGACTTGATGACTCCCTGAAGCCATGTCCAAAAACTCTCACTGATGTGCAGTCATACTGTCGAATATCACATAGCCCAGCATTTTCCAGTTCCGTAATTTCTGGAGCCTGGTCTTCAAAGTAGAGGTTATAAAATGAAGGTAAATATATTGAACTCATTCATATGCATTTACTTTAAGCAATATGTTTCTTTATGTATCTAACTTAGTAAACTATGTGAACAATAAAACCTGGAAATGGTTGATGAAAGGTACAAACAGATACATTTTGTGTTGTTAAAATGAGTTTTAGCTTTAAAGCTAGACTTTTTCTCTTCTCTTGGAACTTCAGTATCATAAAGCAGAAAAAACATTCATGCCATAATATACACTTGTGAATAAGTGGGTTGTTTTTTCATCTACGGTTCTTACATCACACTTGCAGTATAAAATATAATTGAAACTCAGACTCTAATAAGAATTGGAAAGACTAGAATTATACAGTAATTTATAATCGGAATTTTTTGTTTAAATATCAAAAAAAACAAACATCGCAGGTAGAGGTTAGTTCATGAACTAAACTTACAAAAATTAGAATATTCAGATTTTTTTGGAAGTAAAATTAACTTATTTGATTTAAAGGGGAAGCTAATATTTATTTTTATTACCCTCTTCTTTTTTCCACTTCTTTTTAGAAGTGGAAATAGGATACTAAAACAAAAATGCTATTGCAAAACAAAATATTTTTTTTTATTTGAAAGTGTTGCACATTTTCTAGTACTTCTCGTATTTTTATAGTGTAGCTGCTTACCTGCATTTTCAATCACTCTCTTTTTTTACTGAAAAAACCCTGCCCATCTCTATTTGCTATACCTCTTTCTTCACCATCAATTCTGTTTCCACCACATTTAACAGTTAGCTTACAGACATATAGCCACCAAAAACATCCCACTTGCAGTTAATAAACAGGACCGCAGGAGTGTACATCAGATCTTTCTTGAAGAAGGCAGCATGTGGAAACACGGTAATCTCTTGAGGCAGTACTCTGGATTGCAAACTGAGTCGTAATTTTTTAAAATCTGACACACCAGAAACTAAGCCCACGTTTTGCCCTTGGGAAACAAGAAGGCTGAATAGAGAACAATAACGGCTGTATTAAATTGGAACTAGACTGCTGAACACAGTCCCACGATAGGGGGACTGCCAGTGTATAAAAAGCAGGAGAGAAAGGCAGCAAGATGTTGTACAAATATGGAAAATGTTAAGGAGATCTCATTGCTTTTCCCACTTACCAGATAGTATGCTGCAGTCATATGAACCATAGCCTTTAAAGCAGGCACAACCCCAGTCTGTACATTCTCCATTACCACTACAGAGACTGGGACATTTCAGTGCAATAAGTAGGTTCTCAATAGAACCTTGAAGCTCCCGTTGGTTGTCATTTATTTCTTCTAAAACTCTCTTTTCACATTCATTCTCTAGAAGAGCTAAAGAAGCTTCTGCCCATCTGAGGTCATCTTTAAGCAGTAAATCTTTAACACACATACTGATTGCATCTTCTATTCGCCTGCCAAGAAGGCCACCACAAGATCTTCCTATACTGGAATTGGCTATTGCTTGCTGGCACAGTCCCAAAGCTCTAGACTCAGTGAGCCCAGAAGGTGTGGGCCAAGAAGGAAGAAACTTCTGGTCTGTGTCAGTGGCATGGTCCTCTGGGAAAAAGTACCTGTAGCCCTCCAAGTCTGTTTGGCTAAGACGTTGGAATAGAAATACTGGATGATATTCATAATAATTTTGGCGCTTCCCTCTACTTGTAATAGATTGACTTTCCTGAAGATTACTACTGTAACTGGGAGAAATTATTTTCATTCCTGATCTTGAAGTTTCTTCTCTTTCTGCACCAGAACTGACCTGTGAGGTTGCAGAGACACGTGTGTTTACTAATAAAGTTTTGTGAAGTATGGTTTGATTATCCTCCCTCTGCAGAAGTGTAGAGGAATCCATTTCATGTGCAGGTGAACGTTTCTTTAAGCCTCTGACAAGCTCAACAGAACTGAGATACTCAGCAGTGACATCCAGTCCTGGTATCAAAGAAAGAAATCTTCCATTTTCACTTTCTTTGCAAGACAGAGAAAGTTCTGATTTAGAGAGTGCCTCTAGTTTATTCACTGATTGATATAATCCAGCAACTTCAAGTGTGCAGTCACAAAAGGCTGTTTTCCTAGAAGATGGTAAAGAAGGTGGTATCCTGTCAAACAAGCTATCTCCTGGTGGAATTCTACAGAAGAAACAAAAAGAAGAATCTGTATCTCAATTTCCTTGACCATTTTTTTTCCTCATAAAGAATCAGAACTTGTTTTACTTTTTGTTGTTTCATACTTCTACAGGATTGATTACAGAATCTGCAATATACAGCTATGATTATGGACCCCAGTTAAATCACAAAACCCATAAGAATAACTTTAATAAAATAGTTTAGGAAAACAGATCTTTTCTGATATTTTGTTCAAAACCTGCTCAAACTAATCTTACATCACACTTAGTATTTAAATACTAATTTGGCACTTCAGTCTGGATTTACTCTGATTTTAACTTAAAAAATTAGAAGGATTTTTTTTTTTTTAATTTCAACAAGTTTTTAAACAGCACAAGGGCAAAGCTGAACCAAAACCGATGATGTTTGATTGAAACAGAAGTGTTTTGTTACCTCCATTCCTTAATAAAAGAAAAAGGAGCATTAGAATTGTTTGGGATCTCCACCCCACTGGCAGTGTGATAGTCATTCTCTGCAATTCCGTCAAAGGTGCCACAGAGTCCCATTGTATTTCTGTAATCTGAACTGGGTGCCCGAAGTGTTATGCTCATCCCCCATTCACTCACATCAGCACGAACAAAAGCTCCAGAAGAAAACAAAACCTAAAAAGAGATTGATGATATCATTGTAAGAAGCATGACTTTTAAGTTACCTAATAAAATCAAGTATGTTTGTTGCCAAGAAACAATTTGCAAAGCCAGCCATACCAAGTTATCCCATTAAATTTTGGCTCTAACTATTCTAAATCTGACAAATTTTGTTGTTTCTTCTTCTAGAGAAATGCTGTAAATGCAAATCCAATGCATCTCAGTCTTAGCAAGCAGCTAGATGGTGCACTACAGGTCAATAAGCTTCATCCATCATTATCAGATATACTGTAGAAGGTCAATGACTACAAAACTACAGGGAATCAAGGATCAGCTGGGCAAAGAAAAAAAGGCCACTCACTCTTCAGATGTAAAGGGATAATTCTGGTAACGTGAATTGACTTTTGGGGAGCACCTTTCTCACTTTCTTTGTGTCAGCTACATGATTCTCTGTGTTAGTAGCTTAAAATAGAATAATTTTCTACCTGCAGATGCAACCCTATGTGTTCTAGACAGCCTAGAGTAGTCTCAAATATTCATTATTTTATTCTACTATGCTCGGTAATTCTTCTTGATCAGGAGAAATATTACTATCTTGAAAATAAACTGAGAATTGAAATTTTTAATTTACTAATCTAAAGAATTAAAAACACAATTCAGATACATTTTTACTCACAGAAAAAAAAAAAAAAAAAAAAAAAAAGAGAATAAAAAGCTTATGAGTGTTGTGCCAAAGGAGAAGATGCTCTTTTCCACATAAAGGAGAAAGAAACACTAATCATTCATGGGAATCCATGGAGAATTGTATGGCTGTTGTGAGGATTTAAACTTCCAAGTTGAAATGCTGTTTCTATTATTAATGGTGCACAAACCTCAGTAAGTCACTTAATTTTTCTGTTTCTCAGTATTTTTACCTCTAAAACATAAGAAATTTTATTTCTCCATTGTCTAATGATATCTTAATATTTAAAATCTGAAGTATTCAGATAACAGCTAAATATTTAAAGTATTCTTATGCTAATAGCCAAATCTACATTGAAAAGGCATATCTGTTTTTATGGCTTGCTTTCCAGACCAACAGAAGGATTAAGAGCAATTCAGTGTTTCATTTTAAAATTCTGCTTTGTTTCAAACTCAGTAGAGTCCTATGGCAATTTTATACAAAAGAAAAGCTACGGGGAATTATAAAAGCAAACATGGATGTTTTATCTGAGGGCCAAACTCTGTAGAGAAACCACCTACACTTCCAATTCTGTGGATGTCACCTGGCATACTTCATTATGTGCCTACACTATCTTCCCATATGATACTGGTGTAAGCAAACAGCACACAGAAATCCCATTTCAGAAAATTAGAACTGCTAAATAAGTGCATATTAGATCAGAAAACTGCACTGTCCACACAAAGGCCATATATTGTGACTGACAACACTGTTCCAGAAAGGTGTGCACATTGATACATCCTTGTTTTTGAGGACAATGTCCATCACTTACAATCAAAACATTAGCTAAAGGACTATGATCATAAAATAAACATTATGCTATTGCTTAATTGCAGAAACTAAAGAATGTTTTAGTTCTGAAGTTGGTGTGAACTGGTAAAAATAATTGCTGAAGTAACTGTTACCTTCGTAAACAATATTTACTTACTGTTACTTTCCTTCCTAGGTAAGATTCAGTGATTCTGACATGGCTTCCTGTTGTGTCTCTACTTATTATGGATAAGTGTGGCTGTGACTCATGTAGCTGACCACTGCACATGTCAAATGCAATTATATCACTCCCTTCTTTGGCTACAAAGCCACAGTTACAGGATGCTGGATAGTGAAGACTTCCACAGTCCCATTGGCGAACATGAACTTCAAAATCTCGAGACGTGCTCTTAGAGAGAACAAATGTTCCTGTTTTAAAATTGTCATAGAGTCTGGAATCAAAAGAAAAGCATGTGACGTCACTTTGGTTATAAAACAGTATTACCATGTGTCAGAAACTTTACCTTAAATCAGATTTATATCAGATTTATAGTATTTGGTGGGCTTTGATACCACAATTCATTTTCATGCATTGGGAAAAAAAAAAAAGAAAAAAAAAGTTCAGCCCACAAAACAATGCACAACTTTGTTCCAAATAAACACCATTGTGTCTCCTGTGAAGCTCTAAATCAAAAATTTCAAACCTGTTCTACAGCAGAAAAAGAAGGAAGTAGAGAAGGGTCACAAGTGGAGTATATGTAGACAATGTTTGCAAATGGATATGTAACCATAAAGCCACTTTGGTTCTTTGATGCTTTTTAATTGTGCTTATGCATACCTTAAAAGGGAATCACAGGTGCTTCTCACTCTTTATGTTACTGTTGCAATGCACCCAGACAGAAAGAGCAAGACGCTTAACTGTGTGCATGTGGGGGGCAGGTGCAGAAGATTGAACAAGTACCCTTGAAAAAATGATTTAGAAAGTCACATACTTTTTAAAAGGTCTGCTTTATTAAGATGGAGATGGGGAATGAGTATTCCCAAAGATTTGAAAATGATTTAAGATGAAAACCATAAATAGTCACTTCCATTTTTTCCCCTTAGGGTTAGCCATCTGTTCCCTGAAGCAAGGTTAGAATAGCCAATTTAATGATTCAGTGGTGAGAAGGAGGAAAAAAATAAGAAAGGAAAGGAACAACAAAGAAAAAAACTTTTGCAGCAAGTTTAACAGCCTCTTGGCTATAAATGGCATTTGATAGTTAATTGCAGGATGGTGATTTGCTTTCTGTTTAAAGGCCCAGCAGACAAACTGCAGATGGCCACCTTGCTGGGACTGCACAAGATTACCTGTGATTCAGTAGGGACAGCTCCCTTTCTATTTGTTTCCCCAGTTTGTAAAATAAATTAGCAACACTGTTTATCATTAAAAATAAAGTTCCTCCCCCGAAGCCCCATGCTTCCAGCAAGAGCATATCACAGTAAATCACCACTTCACAAGAAAGCTTGATCACAATGCACTGACTGTTAAAATGCCCACTGAAGGCATCCCTGTAATTTCTACTGAAGAAAGAGCTGCAAATCTGCATTACTCCTCTGACTTTATTATTAGTACAAGTCACAGTGCTATCAGAGCAGCCATTACAACCTGTCTTTTCCATTCCTTTATCAAATTCACAAGAAGAACCATGCTGTGGGCTGAACACCCTTATTTGGAGGCAATACGTCTTCTTCCTCTCACCCTGTCACTTGAAGACATGCCTCTGTTGAGCAGGGAATACACAAGTCCCTCAGATGGAAGCTGTAGTTGTTTTGATTCCTTCCATGCATTTGAAACACTTAGAAAGACAGAAGCATACCAAAACCATGCCAGCTGTGGCTAAGGAAGCTGTCTTCACTTTGGAAAGAAGGTTTAGTGATGTGCAAGTGACAGCAGTGAATAAATTGCTGTCAATGCCATTAATGAACCTAGCACTATGTTATACAGACAGTAGATAGCTTCTAGCAACTTGATCCTTACAGGAATTCAGATACTTACACCATAAATATGGAAACTATGCTGCAGACTGAAAACACTTTTGCATTAGAACAGTTTTGCCTAATTTTATCATTGTTCATACTTAATGATATTTCCATCTTTCATATTCAGACTGTACAGCCACCATTCCTCTCATGGCATACTCCTCTGAAAAAGGAAATAGTTCACTTGCTTCCCCTTTTTGGCACAACCTAAATCTTATATTTTGAAATATAAATATTACAAACATACTAGCAAGCTTTAACTAACTGAAGCATGTTTATCATTACTGTCCAAGAAAGAGTTTAAAACACACAGCACAATTACAGAAAACTACAGTTTGCATCACCAGCATAGATTAAAACAGAACAACAAAAAAAAATCTTGAAATTAAGAGCAACAATCCAGTGATTACCTTCCATCAAATGTAATTATATGAGGGTCAGTAAATGAGTAACAGTAGGCAGTTGGTAGATCCTTCACTGTAATCTTCAAAACAAAGAAGCACATAGTTAAGTCATGTCAGGTTAAGACATAAACAGACTCAGGCACATAAATTAATATCATGAGACAAGTAACCTTGTAATAAATAGGTTATATTATACTTTTTAACCAAGCTAAGTGATTATATTAATATTCAAATATATAAAAAATTAATCCAAATGAAAATGCAGCATTTGAATAAAAATAAACCAAGAGAAAATTGACCGCTTAGAAATCTGGGTGTGATCAGCATGTCACAATTGAAATAGAAACCTTATTTACATCATATTTCTGGCCTGTTGGTTTTACAGAGCTTAACATGAAGATTTTCAACCTGTATGCTTTCTGGAACATAGCCATTCCACAGAAAATTCTCACTGGATATAGGTTCAACAGCAATTCTGGTAATTCTGTCTCCATCCTGCATAAAGTCTGTCACAGCAGTGAAATAAATTATAGCTTGACTACAGATTCCATTATTGCAGGGTTTCTGGAGAAGATCCACATGACAAGAAGAAAGAGCCAAGTTTAAACCTAACTGCTCTTTACCTGTTTTAATGAAAACACATCATTAGTGATCTTTCCTCTGAAGAGGTCACATTTTTATATTACTGTTAACATAAACGCTAATTTATTTGCACATAGCAAAGATTTTTCTGTTCATAAATGAAAATAACTATGCATTTTCCTTGGGTTTGGTCATGCATACCCATCTCTCTACACCTTCATGCACACACCCAAGAAAATGGCTTTAACGTTCCACAGTGATAGCCAAATTAAAACCACAGAAGTCTTGCTGATGTGACAAAAATGGCTGTCTGTATAAGCAAGGCTCCTTGTGAGGTTCTTGGCTCACAAGTGCCCCTTGTGTGGGACTTGGGCTTGACAAAGTACTACAGAAAAAGATAATAATTGTAAAAACTGAGAACTTCATGACTGTATATGCAATACTTCCAAAACAGGTCAAAAATGAACTAAATAATAAATTTTGTAAGTATTATGGTACTCTGTCTATTCAAATCAATGTGGCTCTGATAGCCATAGTTGCCAAATCTACTTCTACTTCTACTAATGGATTACGGCCACATTCTTCCATACTTTCAACAATAGAATATACAGTCTGTGAACATTTTAATATTTTAGGAAGTATTTTACAGTATTTTACAATGTATCTGCTTCTGCCAAGAAGCAGACCAGAAGGAATATTTGGAAAAACACAACAAACATACAAAATGCAACACATTAAAAAGCAGGATAATACTTACCTTCATCAACAGTACTCAACGTTAGTGATATTTTACAGTCACTTTCAAGCTGGTTAAATTCAGGGCAAGGAATAGGAATTCTACTTTCTATTGTCAGCCTGTATTCCTTGCCATCTTCTGATATATCATATGTTTCTGGATGTATCTAGCACAGAAGAAAGTATACTTAAAATGCAAACATCCTTTCTGAACTACAGCACCGCTACTGACCAAGTAGGAATAAATACAAAAAACTAAAGACACAGTGCATGGCCCACCCTACTTGATCAGGGTTATCTAGACAGTCTGAAGAGCAGTGGCATACTGGGAAGAAGATGAGGACACTGTAACAAGAGTCTGGAAAGTCTGAGAATAAGGGGCAAGGATAAAGTAAAGCTAGCTAAATAGGCAAGGGATTAGCAAAGCACACTAACACTATTAAAGTGCATTCTCTGGATAACTTCTGGAAGTCAGTATACAAGTAATTTACTGTCTTGTCTGGGAAAAAAATTACATACAGCCCTCACATAAAATGGAAATGCATTCAGATTTTATAGTGTGTGCTACTTACTTGCACTTACATGAAATTAATCTGGCCCTGATCCTGCAGAAAGGTAAATTCTTTATGGCAGGCAAATCCTCACTCAAATCAACAGGATGACTCCCAATATGTAATTGTGTGCAGCCTGTCCTTGTGGGATCAGGGTCCCAACTCCTGGCCAGCAAACTAGTACATAAATCTACAGTACAAATTAAAGTTTCCTTTTGGACCTGTTCTCTGGCCACTTATCAAGTGGCATCACACAGCCCATATCTACATAATTAAACTTTTTCCAGTTTTTCTCTCTAAGCCCAAAGTCTTCTTCCCCACAGACAGCTGTGAACAGGCCTTATGTCAGCCATGCTCTGGGACAACCAGTTGGCATAGGCCAAAATCAAGCCAGAGAGGGTAAAAGTAGCTAAACATAATGGCCAAAATATGCCAGGGCTCAAGTCTGATTCATGGCCCTCCTTAGTTTACAAATACAGAGGAAGCAGCAGAATCTACTCTAGTTGCTAGAGGTCAAGGCTTTCACTGGGTTGTTATAGCTTGCACAAGTTCTTCATTCAGTCTTCCTGCATTTTGATTATATGGGGAATACAGAAACATCATTGACTCAGTTCACTACAGCCAATAACATGATTTATTCATTAACAATTAATAAATTGTGAGTACCTTCTAGTCAGAGGACTCACTGTCTGCTGTGGCTGTTGTGATTTACTTGCTTTTGTTCAGCATTCTACATGGTCTTATCAGACTGGAACACACAGTAATTGCATAAATGTTCAAACTATCTACCCATGTAAATGTTCTAGTGTAACCACAGAAAAAGTCCAAGTAGTTACATATCTGCTGCATTCATACGCAGAAAGACTCCCACTACAATAAAGTAAAATGCTCTTTTCTTTTCAAATTACCTTAATGCCAGCAAAAAATTCCTTGCTCTCAACTGGAGAACTTTGTATACCTGGCTTCTCAACAAAAAAAGCAGAACTGCTGCAGTAGACCTGTAGAACAAAATCAACATAGTAGAATACATTTTTGGTATGAAGTGGTCACATGAATACATAACCCAGCCATAATACCTCAGTTTGATGAGCTCATCAAGCCTGCTCTTCTGTTTGCATCAGAAGTTACCAGTTGCCAGTGGTGCTGCTTAATTGATTGGATTAGATTGAATATTCTAAGATCTGTTCCTGGCATACTCCACTCATGACTCAGACACTTCTTGAACTAAAGGCTGCATACAAACCACCATGTTTAATAAGCACCTAAATCTCCATGTATTTAACTAATCCCTTCTGGAGCATTTCTGCACTCCACAACACCTTGTGGAAATGCAATCTATACTTAAACGTTATTTATTTCTTTTTGTCAGAATTATGTTTGTTGCCTTTTAATTTTGTTGAGTACTCACTAGATCATATATTATGCAAAACAATCATCCTCTCTTCCTCTCTTCTCAGTACAGTTTTTTTCCTGGTGTTATGGGCCTGGATTATCTTTTTTAAGATGAGAAAATTTGCTGTGATTTCCCTCCACTGAACCAGTTCCATGCTTTCTATATGATTTTTTTTTTGTTGGTGGTAGTTTGTTTTGCTGTATCCTTTTTTTTGAGATGTGATGACCATGCATGCAATATTTGAGATCTTGAGAAAAGCAAAGATTCATCACAGCAGAAGATAGTTTATAACTGTGCCTTTTCTTTTGACTGTCACTGAGCTAACACCATCAGGCAACTATTCACAAATTCTCTGAAGGATTTTTGAGGATTAGCAATTACTATTGCCTGTAAACCATTCAAGCAGCCTGCTTTTGGCTTGAACCCCACTGCACTATCAACATAAAACAGCTTGGGAAAACAGACTTCAATTGGGTGTTAGTATATGTACACAAACACACACACAAACACAAAACTTTCTTATGTTTTTTATTTTGGCTAAGAAAGCTTAACCTCTGTTTTGGTATATGCAGGTAGAAAGTCTATTGACTTTCCAATGCTTAAGCTTCTCAAAAGTTACCATATAAACCTAGATCTTCATTCTGCTATGACTGAAGTTACTTTCTCACATGTACTGTCTAATTACTCACCCTGCTTTTGAGAATTATACTATTTAATCTGATACCAGAGACGAAATCATCAAGCAGCGGCTCATTATTGATTCTGAAAAAAATAAATCTATCTGCTGAATAAATAGCACAGCTTCTCAAAACCGCTACCTCATATAGCTTCTCAATTAGATAGTAACATCAAAATATTCTTAATTTACAGTATCAAACAAAATTGTAGTAAAGGTAAAGAAGATTCAACTTGAATAAACATTTATCTACTGACGGCACAGTATACTGTACTGACACAGTCTCAAAATGATAATGGCACTGATAATTATTGATATATTCTGTGACATTTCCACATTCATATGAACACTGTTGATGTAAACAAGAACTAGAAGCAGTATATTTCTGCCAAGAAAAAAAAACACAGAAAGATGCTAGGACTCCATCTCTAACAACTGTTAATATTTGTTGATCATTTATGAAATCATAAACCTTTAGACAAAACAGCTACAGAGGAGAAATAACACATTTACAAAAATAAAAAGAGATTATAATAGTTTTTAACATACTCTGTCTCCAAGTCTGATGTTTATCCCATCTAGCTCTAGAAGTGAGAATGTATGAACTGCTGTCTCACGTTTCAGTTCTTCTTTGATACCTTCAGGAGAAAGTCTTGACCAAGTCACAATGAATCCAACCGAGCTGTTTGCAAAAGGAACGTCAAAGGTACACCTTAGGTAAATGCTGCCTTTGATCAACTCTGCTACAACCTCAGGAATGTCTGGTAGTGGTGGTGACACAGATGGAGATGATGAAGGAGCCAGTTTACCTAGTTAAACAAAAGTGTGGTTTATGCGTTTTATTCTGTGCAAAAATGATATCAGATGAAACAAGATTGGCATATACTTTATCAATTAATACACTAATAATATTTACCTTTTTTCACATGTGGAGATCTCACGTAATTGCTTAGGGAACCAGAGAAAGTATGTGTTTTGCTTTCATTAGTTATTAAAATGAGAAAAACTGGTTATATTCTATACCATACAAAGGCGCTGAAGAAGAAAAAAACTGAGTGAATTAAATGCTATGAATAATTTTACCAGACAGGAGAGAGCAACATCCAAAGGAATTTGCCTACTTATGAAGAAAAAAATAAAATAGAACGGGCTATGTAAAAAAGGAAAAGAATAAGCAACAGTATGATTCCTTGGGAGTTACATATAACATGAATCTGCCAATCAAAGTAATCAATAAATTAGCATTATTAAAACTACTTTTTAATATTACAGTACTTACTCTGAACACTATGTTGAGAAGCCGCTTTTGCAATTGCAGTTCTGAAGTTACCTCCTAACTTGTCATTTTGCATCAGACCAAGCAATACCATTGATAAATGAACACCTTTTTTATTTAAGAAAGTGTATACTTTAGAAAGTGTTGACATTATTGCATCCTGGATGCAAAGAAAGTCTCAAAAAAAAAAATAAATAAAGAAAATACTGCTACAGAAGCCTTGAATTTTCAATCCCTTAGCATCACAGGTCTGTGGCTTTGCATCTGCAACATCTATAAATTCTTCCTAAATCAGATATCGACATACGTACAGAATATTCCTATACCAAAGCTTAGAAATTATTGCCCCAGGTTAAAACAACAACAATGACAACAACAAAACAAATATCACAAGACACTAACTGATGTGTAAGTTCCCAAAACAGAATAAATCTTTAAATCGGATTCATACACAATTACAGTAGCGGTCAGTACAAAACCTTAAGCCAGAGACCACAAGTTGCATGGCTACATCTAGGAGCAAGGGTACAGAACATTTTAGCACTTTCACATCTTTTTATACAGATGTACCCAGCAAATACATGGAGATGTTGCTAATAATAAATAAATAAATAAATAAATAAATAAATAAATAAATAAATAAGGAAACTTATTAAATAAATAAATAAGGAACTATTCTCTATAATACACATTTTGTCTCCCAAAGTCCCCATCTGGATGCTTATTTATTAGTGGTAACCTATGACAGCCAAATTGAGCGCAGACTTGCTTTGTAAAAAAATTTGTATCTTTCCTACATGGGCCACAAAAAACATATTCATGCACTGCTATTGTTAGCTTTGACGGTCATTAAAAACAAACACAACAACAACAAAATAAACTACGGAAGAACCTTGATTAAATATGTAAATAGCAGTATTTTAGCAGGAGTAGGAAGAGGTTATTTGTTCAAAGTTGGAAGGGCAGCAGCAAAACTGAAAAACTCATTCATTAGAAAGAATGAAAATCAGATTTTGGTGTTCCGTGCTTCAGCAATACATTTGTATTCCTCAGCATGTACAGGAGTAACTGCTTGAAAATCTGCATCAAGCATTTACAGCTATCAAGCATTTACAGCTATCAAGCATTAAAGGGAAAATGCAGTACATATGGTAGCCTACATACAAAAAGCAGCACAAAAATACAAAACACTTAGCATGCAAAAAACATCACCTTAACAAAGGGCTTTTAAACTCAAAATGTGTTTTGGACTTGGAGTATTCACCAGAGTCAACCCAGAGTTATGTTTCTTCTCTGCTTTGAAGCAGTAGAAATTTGCTAGCCAGCTGCCTATAGTTTTTATATCCTCTTTCCTCTTCATGAACCCATCATCCAAAGCAAATACGAAGTCATATTGTGTAGGCGTTCTTTGTTGTTTCAGTCACTTGCATTCTGACATTCAGTTCCATTGCTGGCATTTTTTTCTGTCAATAAACTCTTAGAGAATGACTTAACAATTGGTCCTAAAGGGATAATGATGGGCCAATAAAGCACAGTAAAAACTACCAGTAGTGTCGCTACTAAGCTTTTGCAAGCAGTCAGTAACACAGAATATGACTTAGAGCAATACATTATTTCATGCATAAAAGTATTGCAAGTGTTCATCAAAAGTGTTTTACAGAACTAATAAAAGTCTCCTACCACACTGGCTTGTCACTATTTGTCAATATCCATAACTGTAAGAGTTTAGCAATACTTTCCTTAAGTTATCGAAAGTATCCAGAAGGAATAATGAAATACTCAAGTTTCAGACTGTGAACAACACTGTTCTGCAGCGCAAGGGTCCAAAACATCACAAGGCATTGCAGAAGGACTCACTTCAGTTCTTTCTCACCATACTAAGAAGTGTGTATCAGTAGAGTATTTCTGTGTTGAACTTTCTTCTGGCAACAATGAATGCACTCTCCAAAAATAAGATCAAAGAATTAGAGCAAGAAGGATATGCCTAATTAAAACAAACAATAATTGACATAAATATATTTTCATCAAGTTCTTAAACAACATTTACTTTTATACTTGGCTCTGTAGACATTCAGTAACAGTGATTCATACAGTATCAGTGCCAACACAGGTACCCTGAATTTTGACTTCTGGATGTGTCTTATAACCCCACCTGACTAAATGGAAAAAATAAATTCCTAAGATTTGGGGCTTTGTACAACTCTTGATTGCCAAATGAAAATTAAAAAGGGGTGGTGTGATTGCACCTGGCTATAACAAATCATTTTCTATCACATCAAAACTAAGAGTGTAGAAAATATTTGCATAACTATTGCCAGACATGCTCAGCAAAATAGCTTATAAAATACCATGTTTTCACAGAAACATCAGTTACTGTTTGTATTTTGTTATTTTCAGCTATTTTTGAATAACTAATCAATAAAATAATCAAACACCAGAGAACACCTACAGAAGATACATTATTTTTAAGAAGGTTAACGTGAAAGAAATGCTGAAGTGAAGAACACTGCTATTCAGAATGTGAGAAAACTTGGAAAACACACTAATAAACACACACTCTTAATTGAGTTACTTTCTCTTAATTGAGTTACTTTCTCACCTTCTGCACAATACCCCATGCATCCTTGAGTGGGCTGCAGCAGGTAAACAAAGAAGTCTCCGCAGTTCCTCACACTGACAGGGATTCGAAAAAGACAGCAGTCTCTTGAAGTGCTGAAGAAGAACTGCCATGTCGCACAGGCTGTTAGCTGCTTGATCTCACCAGGTTGGGGCATGGATTCTGACTCCCTCAGAGATAACCAGACAGGGGCTTGAGTACCACAGTGATTCATCTGAAGCACCAGAAAAAAACACCAGAAGATGGTTAATGCTGTGACAAATTGTTGCTGGGGTTTAAGGAGGTATGTATTCAATTTCCTGCTTGAGCTTTTAGCAAAATTCAGATAATGTAATTGAGGGTTTGCTTTTTCCCCTTCAAAGTTGAATACAAATACACGCAAAAGAGACTTAAGTCCTTATTTGGGTCTCATGAATTTGGCTTTCTAAAGACAGGATAAAATTTAGTCCCTGAAGCAGGAGCCACCACACATTAGCTTTCTGCCCCAAAGAGCTACCAGTTGTGTTACAGCATAACGAGCTAACCTACAGCAACCAACTGTGTGAAGGCTATTGGAGCAAAAAGGGTAGAACATACCTGCACTGACTATCAATTAAGGGTATTAAAGCACTTTACTGCCATTTGGTATGGACTCAAGTCTCAACTAAACTTCTAGATTTCATCTAATCATCAGATGATGCAAGGTTACTCGCTTGCACCCTAGCTACAAGACACCTATTTAGCATTGTCTGTCTTTCAGTTCCCAACCTCTAGAAGTGAACATGCTTGTAGCACCCCTGCACCAACAACAGTGATTTTGTAGAAACCATAAATCCTTTGGTGCTTATGAAGCAGTGGACGTTACAAGGTCTGTGGTTCAGATGCTGATGCAGCAGGTGATGTAAGAGTTGTTGCTTCCTTTCTCCCAAACTAAAGTCTTGCTTTATGCCAAGGTGTGAGGAGAGCTGTGCTGTGGAATAGTCCCTGTCCTCCTGCCACCACTTTGGCTTTATGAGGTCTTCAGGTCAGGGAAGCTGCCATGCAGGTCACCACAGTAATACCCCTCATAATAACCAAAATCTAAGTCTGATCTAGCAGACATTGGAGCTTAACAGTGGAATACAGAAAATTAATCCTGATGAAAGGAGATGAGGGAATCTGGTTTACAGGTTACCAGAATGTGTTCAAGTTCACAGCCTGTCTTGTGATGCAGAAAGCAAGCACAGGAGAAACACAGAAGGACTGTGGAAGTAAGTATGTTATTTTTCCTCACAAAAGCTTACAGATTTTTCTCAGCTAACCAGTAAACCAAAATAAACCCAGAATTTTCTGTGAAAGTTCCTAAAGTATGTAAAAGCCAGGATTGCAAAATATTTACAAGATAACTATAAATTTGAACTTTTAAGATTCTGAGAACCTCTTTTTCTTCTTACAATGCCTCAAATACTCTTTGACCTGATAGTGAAACAAGGTCTCAGATCATCTTAATACCTCTTAGTCTAAAGTCTAAAGACTATTGCAGGCTCGTTGTACACAAAACTCATCTCAAAAGTACATTTTTCTTTATCTAGAGTGTCTGAGCCATCAGATCGAGCGTCATCAATCCACCAGACAGACACAATCTATGACAAGTAGACACAAATGGGATGGATTGTTTAACACAGCCTGAATCTTTGACAAGTATTAAGCATAGCTGTAATAAAGCTTCTCCTAAAGGGAAGGAAAGGAGGAAACTTCCCAGAGAAGATATTCATTTTAGTTCAGTTTTAATGTTTTGACTTCAATGCTTCAAAATAATTGTCTTGGTTTTGTCAACACACGCAAAGAGGCAGTTGTCAGCGCATAAATTTCATTTGCTGAATAAGATTCAAATCAATCTCTTGCCAACAGTAATTACCTGGGCTCTTCTGTATTTGGATGGTAACCTATTTTTACTATACATTTACTAAGCACTGAGAGTTTGGGTCAGATTTTTAATACTCTCCTAGATTATCTGAGTAGGTATCCTGATGGTTTAATCCAAGGCCAGGTTGGATGAGCCTTTGGGCAACCTGATCTAGTGGGAGGTGTCCCTGCCCATGGCAGGGGAGTTGGAAGCAGGTGATCCTAAGATCTCTTCCATGTCAAACCATCCTGTGATTCTATGAACCTGTGTTCTGAAAAACACTTTTTTTTTCCTGGTTTATCATATTGGTTCTTTTGTAGATGTGTCCATTTTGAGGAAATAAAACTATTCAGTTAATTTGTTTCTATTAAATCTAACTGATAAAGAGGTCTTTCCTTCAGGTAACAGACTTCGCTTAAGCTTCTTGCAGTATAACAGCATAGATAACAATAGCCTCTGCAACACAGCACTCTAAACCCTTGAGTCAGCTGCACATTAAAAGTATTTCAGTGGCTTTGTAATGCTCTAAAGATTAAAAAATATATATATAAATAAATAAAAGACAAGGTGTTACAAACTCAATATTTGTATTTTTATTTATTTATTTATTTAACTGTTTTGCTTTCCTTTTAAAAGGGTTTTATTTTGTTGTTAAAGCAACTGAACCCAGGCAATTTCAATTCAGAATAAAAATCACAAGATTACAGGTAAAATATCCTAATGAAACTTAATGACTTTTTAAAATAAATATTTTCAAATAGGAAGCTACAAAGATATCTCCTTCAAATGTAGCTATTACAAAGATGTTGAAATAGCTTCAAAATCAAGCATCGCAAGTCTAAAGTGTTAAATACTCTAGTGTTGTTCTTGAGTCTCAGTGGACCTGCAGCTTATAAGGGAATTAATCTGCAGTTAGTTCTGTTAGTTCAATTTATTTTAGGAGTAATCTCTTCTCTCTGACATGATCATTTTTAAAAGCTCCACAATTACTGGGATTATGTGGCTGCAAGTCTTCATACTGCTTGCACATAGCTTTAGGAAAAGACTGACCACCACACAGCTGCAGCTTTACAACATGACAACATGATACCCCTGCTATGCTAGCACTGCAAAAATCACTTGTAGCAGTGACTGTCAATGACATTTTTTGAACGTGCTAGAAGCGATTTATCATCCTCTGCCATATCCCATTCAGTGTAAAATTTTTCAACACATAAGACTTTATTGTTCAGTTAACATACTTTAATATGTCACACACTTACAAAAAAAGGTGCTTTACATTCTTTCACATCAGTCTCCATAACTGTGTCACTTTTATATCTATCTTACTGAAAAATTCTTATGAAAAATATATTTTTTTTCATTAAAAAAAAATATGTATATTTTTCATAAACAAATGAGATGTAACAATACCTCCACACACTTGGTCGGCATCTCAGCAGGCTTATCAAAAATCATAAAGCGATACCAGCCTGGTGTTAGGGAATGGTCACAGATTAAATCCTGAATAGCTGACTGCTGAATGTAGGATGAGTCAAAATCGACACTTCGGTAAGGGCTCTGCAGGATCTGATGTCCACCAGGATGGCATTCAAGAACTGCAGGAAAAGAGCATTGAGACGAAATGTCAAACAAATACATTAAAAAAGATTTCAAGTATTTTTAACTGGAAAATATGGAGATAGCACAGAATGGTACAAGATCACTTTTACTGAGAAACATATTGAAATCTTAGTAAAAACAACAACAAATAGCTATGTTAGCACTCTAAAATTTAATAAATTTCATCACGTGGTAACATTCCTTTATTTAAATGGGCAATAAATGCAAATTAATATGTATGCTAAGTATTTACTCCAGATGTTAAAAAGGTGGAAAGCTTTTATAATTTAAACAGTGTTCAGGCTTTCTCTCTGGATTTTGACTTGTCACTGATGTTTACAAAACCTAATAACCTGAAGAAAAATGAGGTGTTTGATACATAAGAGGATCAAACTCTTACTTCATGAGGAAAAAGGATTATCCAAAGGTCCATATTTGCATATAAGCTACCACTTTACAGGGGATCTGTGTATGAAATGAAGAATTCTGTCAAATGGATGCAGTAGTTGCACATAGTTTGAATGTATAAATGTGGATTATACTATAAGTACCTACCTGTTTCCATACTTTATTACACATTCAATTTGCATAGCTGGCATGCTCAACTGTAATAAATACAAACATATTTTGGAACATTTAAATGACCTTATGGCCTCAAAATAATCTCAAAATTACTGCTAGGTAAAATTAGGATTTGGAACCTGAAAAAGTATTAGCATCAGTTTTAAAAATGCAGACTCTTCTTTTTAAAATCAGATACATCTGATGCTGACTGTGAAAGGAATTCCAAGCTATACTAGATAATAAAGTTGATCACAATTCTTGCCTCTACAATGAATTAAAAAATACAGCTGTAAGCAAAGCTCCATAATATTATATTTTGAGTATTATTAGTCTGATCTCTCAGTTCTCAAAACAGATTGTTTGTTTTGTTTGGTTGGTTTTTATATATGTCCCTTATTTGGCTTGGTCTAATTGTGTCACAGATTACAAAAACATTTTTGGTTCAAACATTATCTAGCATAGTCTTTCAAATCATTGTTCAGATAACCATAAGACAGTTCCCAAATCAGTGAATTCCCACCCTTTAAATGGAGAAGATGCACTAGTGAAACAACAGACCTTTTCTCTTTCAAGCACAGGGTGAGAATCCTATTTTCCTAGTTTCCTGGTTTCAAAGACTAAAGATTTAATCTGATATAGCTTTAGGCTACCCAACCAGGTAACAATAGCTTTATCTTCTATCCTCTAAGGGGAGATGGAAGTCAATGTGATTGACTGTGCCACCACTGTGCTTCTGAGTTGCCTGTCGTAGCCTGTAGGCTATTCATGTCCATACAAGTTGACCTTATCGAGAACTTATCCCTCAATGGAATTTGAAGAAAAGCCCTTGAAGAATCAAAGGTCAGTCGTGTGTGTTATTGAAATGTTTCCCAAGCAAGCTTCAGCACAAGTAGTTTATGAGCCATGTTGAAAGTTTCTTCCTGTCTTCTATTTTTTATTGAAATTCTACATTTCTTACAGCACCCTCATTAGTTTTCTTTCCTGTAATTGTAACACTCCTGAAACAATTAATATCCATTACGTTTCCCATTAATAAATCAAGCTAGACATGAGACAAGTCTTTATTTTTTTTCCTCTACAGTTTAATTAGATCATTGTTTGATAGATCTCTAAAACAGCCGACTGTACTCACTTGTAATAGGGTTATAAATCCTACTAAAGATCAAATTATATGTTTCTTATTATTATGCACATCACTTTAAAATGCCACCCAGCTCTTCATATATTCTCTCTTCCTTTCTCAAAGTATGCTAGTATTTCCAGAGCTATTTCTTAGAAATCTCATGTTGTCTAACCCTGCTTGATTTCTTTTCTGTTTCCTCACCCACTCTACAAAATAACTGAAAATAATGTCAATCATCAGTAGTACTGATTAAACAATTCTTATCTTATGCCTAACTCCAGCAACAGCGGAAACAAGTACAACTATTGTACTGATGGACACACACACAATGTTGTGTTTGCCTTGAGAAAGTTACTGCTGCAGACCAAATCACGGACATTTTAGGAGACCTGGCTAAATTTTCCACTGAAATCTTTATTTCCTTTTTCAAGCCTTGTAAGAAGTAATCTTGATATAAGCAGTTCTTTCAACTTCATTCTCAGAATGACTAACACCATTTTGCAGTAATGCTCCAGGAAAGCTTTGCCTATGTCTAACCCCCAGCAGTTTTCAGCCCAATGAGTCAAGTCTGACAAAATAGTGAGGAACTGAAAACAGTGTCTGATACTCAAAGTTAAGAAAATTTAAAGGGTAAGCTTATCTACCACTCTGTCTAGTATAGGAGGTACATGAAAGTACGGCAAGACTTATGTGCCTACTCTTGACTTACAGCATCTATGGTCACAAAATATCCTGACACAAAATGAAAAACTCGTGTTAGTTCACTTTAACAGAATTTATCGTTTAAGAATGATTATTCTCTAATAATGGGGATATTCACATATATGCAGTAAGATTTTATTTCCTTTAGGACCTTTAAATATATTAGTGATTTATATATTTATTAACTATATTTTTTAACTTTTGCCTAGAAGAGTGAAATCATACTTCTAATTAATTACAAAATACACAAATACTTAAGAACCAAGACTGAAATTCAGCCTCCTTTGTAGATTGTGCACCACTGGTTTAACTCAACCTATGGGCAACACAAACTATGAGGAGATGCTTACTTCTAGGAAGTCAAACTCTCCCAGTGTGTTTGGAGGTCTAGATATATGCTGCCTGCTGAAAAAACAGTCTATCTTGAGAAAAACGTGTAGCTGTTTCCATAGAATGAGTTTATTTATCATTTTCAGTCATGTTTCCCCCCCTTCCCCCCGCTTCCCCCCCCCTCCCCCCGAAACACCCTATATGCTGGCTGTCTCATAGCTCTCTGCTGCTCGTTAACAGAGGTCTCTGCCTTCCAGGAAGAATGTGATCCCCTATTTACTGTTTCCTGACTATAGTCAGGATTAATACAGTGAGCTTTGCCTGGATCCCTCCCAGATCTACTGGTCCTGTCAGATACTGAGAAATGTGACCCTAATCCAGAAAATAATTTAACTTTTGCAACATCTTAAACACAAGGATGGCATTGTGCTGGAGATGAGCAATAGGAAGCGCTCTGCTTGATCAAGGCTACTGCTCTCAATTAAAAGACTGAGGCCTCATTATTAAATCCAGTCCTGAGCTTATACAACAAAAACTTGTTTAAGCAGTACAAATAGCTCAGCTCAGGATTAATAAATCATATTGGTTAATGCATCTCTGCTCCATTTGCTCCCATACTTCATAGTATCTATTTGTTATGTCAGGTTATTCTGAGAGCTGTTTTCCTGGTTGCTTTCTATATTGGGCAGATTTTTCCTATCTCTATCTTTCCATTCTCTATCTGAACAGATTAAAATGCAAAAACTAAAAATAAAATAAAAGATATGGATTAGGCCTTTTTGGGAGACACAGAATGAAATTTCCAAAGTGACAATGGCAATTGTTTCTGGAGGATTGTCTTCTGAGAGGCATGGCTACTTAAGCTCCATCCAGTCAAAAATATTAAACTATTTTAGGCAGATCATTACACTGAGTGTCAGGGAACTGCACTCTTAGACTTGCTGCCAACACACTGGGGTTTGTACAGTGACGGGGTGAGGTAACAGGTACCCTGAACACCAACAAGGTAACAAAAGGTTCTTGAAAATAATGGGAGCCCATTTTCCACAAAGAGATGTTAAACAGCTTCCCAATGACCACCTCCATGGTGCTAAAATGGAAAAAAGAATTTTAGAAAGGAAAGACACTTGAATTCCCCCTTCACATCTGCAGGGAAGGGCTGATACATGTTTTCCACCTGCTCTTGGGCAGGGTCCAGGCTAAGGAGCTGTCAGGAAGTGCTGGGCGCAGGCCAACAAAGGAGAATGGTCTCCAGGGAGCAGTGGTCCAGGCACTGACTGGCAGCGCAGCTACTCGGGTGTGGATAGCCCAGCAGTTTATATCTCCTGCTCTCCATTGGCCAAGATCTGGCCAGTGACTGTAAGTGAACAAACATGAACATAGTCCATGCCAATCTCATCTTATGTCCTTTTTATTGTTTCGACTGACTGCAAAGGACACTGCGTATCAGCATCCCACAGCACTAATTGGAGCTAGGACTGCTTCTAAGAGAGGAGAGCTCAGATGGATTTGTGGATTTAAACTCCAACAAAACACCAAAATAGAAAGACGGTGACTTTTTGAAAGAAGTTATCCTGAGATTATTATTTAGGGAAACACTTTTTAAAGTGAAATATAAAAATAGATGTAACTATTCACCCAAAAGATACCCTTTGCTTGCATGAGACACATAAAACCTACAATTATAAATGTTGTAGCAGTTACAATGTTGCAAGGTGGAGAAACAGGAAGATGAATGCTCTACAATAAGCAACAAAGTAAGTACAACCAGCATGCACACATTAATACATCCTTACAAGAAGCACTACTTGAACAGGCGTTAAAACTTTCCACCACTCGCGTCCACTTACTAGGAGATGCTTTGAAAAGTTAGTTAAAAAAAAAAAAAGAAAAAATACACGTAAGTATATGCTTATAGGCTGTTTTCAAGTAGTTTCCCGTACAGAACGCTGTTGCATCTATTCCTTAAGTGGGCTTTTCTCCCAGAAATATTAAACAACACAGACCGGGAACACCATTTCCCTGCCGGGGGCGCTGCCACGCCGCCCCCCAGCACCTCCCCGCTGCCCTGATGGCGGTGATGCCCCCCCCGGCCCCGCTCACCTGGGCGGCGGGCGGTGGCGGCGGCCAGGCAGCCCAGCACGGCCGCGCACAGCCAGAGGCCGCCCCCCGCCATGGCCCGGCCCCGCTCCGCTCCGCAGCCGCCGTGCTTGTGTCGGCTCTTGGCGCACATCCCCTTAATGCTTTAATGCCGCCCCTCCCGAGGGGGCCGCGGCGGGGCCGGCCCTCAGACCGCCCCCGGCCCCGGCCCCAGCCCCGGCCCCGCCGTGATGGTGATGAGGGTGAGGGCTGCCCCTCAGGGGCTGCTGGAAGTACCCGGCGGGGTGCTACCTGTACTTCCCTAACGTGTGGTGAAGTGTTAGGAAAGAGGCGGTTTCAGGTTGCTCGATATGAATCCTGTGGTCCTTTCCTTAAATCACCAAAGGTGTTTGGTAACTGTGCTTTAATAACCACAAACTCCTGCGTTGGACACCATTAATGCAAGGTGTGTTACAGCAAGTAGCTGGTGGTTTCAAGCACTCGGTGCTTCAAGGCTTGATGGGAAATGCACCTCTTTGGAAACATCTAGCGGAGGACAGAGAAGTGGCCCAATGTTTAAGATTTTGTAAATTTTTTTGTTATTTTTATTTCTAGGCCCCCAGCCCCTGCAGACACCAAAGCATTTCACACATGCACGGGTGTACAGCAGGCCACAGAAATGCGTCTCGCTCTCTTTAGGATGTGTAGACCTACCTGGAACATGTAGCTGCTGGTGTCTGGCGAGTCTCCGAGCCCTGCACACCAAAACGCTGCATCCTGCCACCTGCTGAACCTCTGCAAAGGGAAACATTGGGCGAGGGCTGCCTCCAGGAGGTGCTGGCATGGGTGGCCCCTTGCAGAGCAGGTGTCCCTGCAGCAGGTCCCAGGGCAGGAGCGGAGGCAGAGACATGGCACCCTAGTGTCTGCAGCCTCCGTCTTCCATGCACACACCCTGAGCCTCTTCGCTGGAAGAAGCAGGTCAGCTCTATTAGACCAGCAAGTTTTTAAAAGGCATCACTGGCACAGCCTGAGTATTGAATGTTATCCTGTGTTTCTGTCAGTTCTCTAAAGCATGTAAGTTTCTCCTAAGAGAACTTTCTGGTTTGTTACCAAATATGATAAACTTATCCTAGAAAGCTGCAGGACTGAAATTACAATTTGTTTTTCCTAAAGCATGTATTTGTAAAGAAGACAACAGGAAAGAAAGAGGTATTTTACCAAACAAGTCACAAAATAAAAAACTGGAAATAGAGACACTGTGAATCTCTGACAAAATTTAAACATTAAAGTACTTCTTTGACCACTGCTAATCATGATGGAGTGGTATTTACAGGAGGATTAACACCTTTCATCGTGGACCATGCAGGAGACCAAAAGAGGTGACAATAATACCTGCTGGAGTAAAGCAACCTTTCATCTTTTCTTCCTTGGTTTTCCTCTACCAGCTCCCTCTGCTGCTATCAGCCTTGCAGTCTCTTACAGCAACGGGAGAGCAAGAGCGTAGTATGGTTGAAAGAGCTGACAATTGGCCAAATGTAGTTCTCGGCTGTCATGGGGACAGAGTTGTGTCAGTGACAGTGGATTTATGAAAAAATAAGTAATTCTAGGGCAGGTTTATGGCACAATAGGTCTTTGCAGCAGGTTGCAATTTCAAAAAAAAAGAAAAAAGTTTTAGACAGTAATTTATTGACATTGTTTTATTAAAGCATACCATAGACTATGTAAAACAGGTTTGCACTATGGAAAGCACCCTTCGCCCATGATGTAATATGAAATCATGCTACAATTTTGCAGCATACTACTAAGTAGCAGCATATTTGGGAAGAAGAAAACACGGCTGTAGAGTGGAGGACAAATTTAAGATACTGCACATGATTATGTAGTGCAAGACATCACTGTTGTAAACATTTTAAAGCTTTCCTGAAAACACGGCATAGGGAGCAACAGTATCAATGCTAAGGAGCATTTAGACATTACAGCACAGAAAAGCATTTCCCAAAAATAGATTGTATGAAGAAATACGAAGAATGAGAGAGGTAGGTTTAGCTCTGAAAATCATCCCAGGACTAACTTTCAGTTTAGCGATCTAAGTCTTTTCAGTGAATATACATTTAAGGTGGACTCCTATGTCCCATCTATAAATGAACTTCACTCTGTGCTTAGCCTGAGCAGAAGTGCTTTTGCTGACTTATTAAGGAGGGAATAGGATAGTGATAAACTGGAGAAAACAGCCGTGTTGGATGACAAGGAGCAGAGACTTAGGCAATGCTGAAAGTAGAGTTATTGCAGATGTTTAAAATTTCAGATAAAAAAGAAGGCTCTGTTGATACAAAGTCTCAGGCACTGCAGCTAGGTTGGACCAATTTAATGGTTATCTACATAAGTACATGACTGTGCAGCTCCAACATGTGTGTACGTGTAACAGGAATCCTTGAGAAAACATTAAAGAAAGAAGAGTCTTTCTCATAAATACAGACAGCATTATTGACAGCATGCTGGTGATCTCTGTAACAGTGCACCTTAGATCATTCATATAAGCAAAATGCATGTCTTTTACAGTATTTAACAAGACTATATTATCTCAACTTGCATTTGGGGGAGCAGGCCAGAGTAGGCAGCAGGCAAGTGACTATGGATAAAAGAGTACTAGCTTTAAACATTTTAGGTAAATAGGTCAGGAAGATTAACCAGTGTCATTTGCCAATACATGTAGATTCCCAAATAATGTGCACATAGATATTCAGGTGTGAACTGGAAATGAGAAATCACCTGTGAGTCTTAAAAGTATTTAGCTCCAGACTAAGCCATGAATGCTTTTTGTAGTTATATTCAATCCCTAAATTCCAAAGTAAATAAGGGGATCATCTAGAACAAAGGCAGCGCTTGTGGCAGGCTAGGTGGATGAACAAGTGATTAGTGTGAGTGCTGGTGCACAGAAGCAGGGAAACAGGGGTTGAGAGATGAGGGCAGCACTTGGGTAGGTGGTTGTTGTCTTGAGAGGTGAATCCCCAGCTCTGACACTTAGAGGCTCTCAGAGATATTTTGTAAATAAAGGTGAACAATTAGAGAAGAATCCAATTAAGTTTAAGCTAAAACTGCCCACTGTATGTGATTTATTATAAGACTTTTCTTTCAAACTGTGAGCATGAATGGAAGTCTGTCTTCAGTGAATCCCCAGTGCTATACCATTAATCCTGTCTACTATTGTCAGCAAAGTAAATTTGAATAAGCCCTTTAAGCCTATGTTGCTGTACTTGCTATCTGTGCTAAGATAGAACATAGATGGTAACTCCAACTAAAGCTGTGAGCAGAAATTGGAAGCTGGGGAAGATATCCCTGCAAAGCTTCAAAGGGTCATTGTAGTAATGCCAAATGCAGAATGTTTGGAAATAGTTGCCTTCAACAGATAACATCCCTCCTGTAAGGAGCAGATGGCTGAGAGATAGCCCACAGCTCTGGGCAAATCCAAAAGCCTCTGAGAGCGACGAGTTTTCTTGCCCTTTGGTGTTTTTAGTTCCTTCTGTTTGTAAAAATAATTTATTTTTCAGTTGTGCCAGGTTGTATATGTGAATGGTAAGCGAACTTGTCCTTTCTGAAACAATAAATCGCTAACATTCTTTGTCTAATCTAATCAATTCTGTCCTTAAAGTCAAATTCCAATCTTCCCTTCAAATTGTGGGTTATGTGACTTCTAACTTAGCTAAGGTTCATTGGATTTCAAAACATGGTCTAACAGCTTTAAAACGAATGCCCTGAAACGTCCCTAAGACACACTGGCAGTTTCAGTTCAGAATGAGACATTTGATTCTGTCTCCCATTTCTATCTTCAACACCAAATAAATAGAAGCAGAGAAACAGTAATGGTCATATGCATTTATTTATTTTGATTATTCTTTGGCTAACTTTACATCATTACAAGAGGTTAAACTTGCTCATGTTTATTCTGCTGGCAGCTTTTTCTGAAAATTGCATGGCTGTTGAGTGGCATTTGTTTTTCAAAACACTTTTAAAATTTGTAGAGAAGATTTTTTAAACTGCTCTGTAAATGTACTCGGTGTTGACAGTCTGTTTAGCTTTCAGAAGTAATGACATCTTCAGTATGTTTTAGCTCCTAATCCTCTTTCATATTTGACCTTTTGTATACACTACATTTGACTTATGCAGTAAAGGACTTCAGTGTAAAAATCTAATGTAATTTGGTTTGGATAAGCAGTATAAGGTTTAGTATAAATCGGAGGAAATCCATTTCCAGTGCTTGAAGGGGTTATTGAGAGCCAAATAAAATCAGTGGTAGGCTTTAATTAGCTTCAATTGCTTTGGATCAGCCCCATGCTCTTTTATGTTTCTCAAGTACTTTTGTATTGCTTATTACATAATAGCTTGAAACTTAACTCAAAGGCCTATCAGCTGTATTTTTGCAGAATGTGCTGAATGTTCTGAAGTCTGGGAAGTACTTTGGCTGATGGGATATTAAAGGAATAATCTTTGTTTTACCCATACTGAACTGGAGCAGTGACATGTAATTATATTGATCGCTTATGTATGATACAACTCTCAAGTATCATTTCTTCTCTTTCTATCTCTGGTGATATTTGTGTAATTACACTTAATAAGCTGTAATTTTTAAAAAGTAGAGAAACATAGAATTCATTCTTTAGCCTGTATAGACTGTGTACACTACTATGTACACTACTTGGATAAGGTCCAAAGCATTAGTCTTATGGGTAGCCATAAACTTCATATTCTTCACCTTACTGACTGTAGTGTGTTTCTGTTTGAACTACTATGTTTGATTTTTGTCAAATAAAAATTAACATTACTGGATAAAAGTCTTGACTAAATTATGTGCTCTACTAAAATGCAAGTGAAGAAAATATTCTTGACACATATAACCTTTTCATGTGATAAACAACCAACGAAATATGTTTCTCAAATTTTCCGATTACCTTTCTTAGTATCAAAGGCTTTGGTCCTACAAAGACTAAAATGCATTTTGGTGAAATCCCTCAAGAAGAAGGGGGATTTAAAACCAAACCTCACAGACTATAGTGTTAACAGCTCTGTTCTTTCTTTCTGGGCCTACATTTCTCATCCAAGTTTTTACCTTGTGCGTGGGACTCGCTTACTTGGCTGTGAGTCTCACTGAGTAGCCAGCTCCAGCTGTGGCCAAACACGGACATGGCACCACTGGTAGCAGTAACTTTGCTGGTTAACTAACAACACTAAATATTCAAATAAATAAAGTGTGGCTAGCTCGGCAAGGAAAAGACACATTCACCAAAGCAGGAAAAGCAC